CGAGCATTGGGCCCACCGCATGACTGCCAAATTGACTGCCCCGGAAACGCCCACCGTCCGAGGTGGAGAGGCCGGCTGACCTCCAATGGGTGTGTTGTAGAGCACAGCGACCCCAAAGCCTCTGGAAACTAGTGGCTGCCAATGGGCTGCAACAATGTAGTATAGCACTTGTTGAACGCACTCAAACATACTTATATCTTTCCCACAAGCGGTCATCATCGCAATGTTGACGTTGCCAAAAATCACCGATTTCCTCGATCTTTAATGGGCGGAACTTCAACGAGCGGAAAGGCCAATGTATACAACCTCAAAGCTTAGGCCCAGTGCGTGCTGTCGCTCCAAGGCTGTTTGGTGGCCTTGCTTGGGCATTTTGCCCTAGTTCATGCTTGAATCAGGGCTTGTGTAGGCCCCTAAGCTAGAAGTCCCAAAATCGCCATTGTTTATGGATATAGTGGCCATGTGGTAATGTAGTAGTTACCCGTTGGTTTCTTGTCTTGCTGAGTGGAGCTTGGCCTATCGCCAAAGTCGTGGAGGCCATATGCATAGTAAAGCTTTGCATACGGCCTCTACGACTTGGGTGTAAGGGCCGAGCATAACGAGGCCTTTAGCCGGAAAATGGGTTTGGCCAAATTGGAGATTCTTAATGAATATGATAACTTTGATGATTTGGCCGCCACATGTAAGAGCGCCCGGCGGCAGCACTGATTGTAGTTTGATCATTCTGGAAACACCGCCTCCCTGCCTCCTCGAGTGCAGCAGCCGCACGCCTCAGACGGGACCGCACAGAGCGGCCGTTATCCACGGGCCAGAGAGAGCCCGGGATACGCCGTCCGGCCGAGGACGACCACGATTCCACCGGAAAGGCTCTAGAGCGTGGGCCAGGGTACCTAGACGCAGCCAAGGGAGGACCGCGCCAACAGGCCAATACTTGTGCACGGTGCATAATCCATTGGAAAGTAGCAAGACTCCACCAATCCAAAAGACCCAAACTCACCTTTATGACCATCTTCGTTATAGCCAATTTTCTGAAATTATGAAGCAAGGACAAATCGCCATTCATGTGCCAATTGCCAATTCACCAATTGTTCCTGCTATGTTGGGGTGATAACCCTCACCATCTCTGTTTTTTTTTTAAAGGATTGGGAGACTCCCTCAGTTGCCTTGACAGTGGCAAAGAAGCTCGAAAAGCCCTAACAAGAAAAATTTGGTCCGGAGCATTATTTTGATCCTCCAGATCAATCCTGAACTGATATTGCAGGCAATGGCACATTCAACGATCAATGCATTCGAAACGAGTTTTCTATTGCCATACCTCAGAGGTATGCAAAGAGTCTTTGCAAGCACCCTAGTGACCTCCACTTTGAACTGCATTAGTAGTTTTGCAAGGACGGGTTTTGTGATGTGGCTATTTGGGGTTAGGCAGTTATTGACGTTTTCTGGAGTGTCGATTGCGTAATCTTGGAATCGACTTTTGGGGACGTTATTTAGAGCTTCCTGGTTCCAACGCGCCCTTAAACGCTCAAATCCGTTAAGAAACGGCGAAGTTACGGCCTCCTGAGGTTGCAGTACTTAGGGGCATGGGGTCGGGTGTTACACGCTTGGAATTAGAGGACAATGGGTCAATCGTAGGTGAACGGTGGATGGTGACTTGGTGCCTGGACGCGCACATGAGTTGTCTTGTCTTGATGTGACAGCGATGGACCCGCGATCGGGCATCGCGCATGCTGTGAATCTGTGTAACCGTTCTGGCCCACTCTCTGGCCTCCCGCGAGCCAGCGAACGACCGCCTCGCTGCGCCGCCACCTCTCGCTGACAGCAGGCCCCAGGGATCGATCCCCATTGAGCATTGGGCCCACCGCGCCACCGCTGATTCGTCTGCCCCGGAAACGCCCACCATCCGAGGTGGAGAGGCCAGCCGACCTCCAACGGCTGTGTTGCAGGGCAGGGCGACCCCAGAGCCTCCGGAAACCAGCGGCTGCCGACGGGCCGCAACAGGTTTGTTTCGCTGCCACAAAATGGTGCTCCTCAAAACAGCCAAAAATAGTTGTTGTTTAGTGCAATGTCCAAAAACGACCCTTCTCTTGCCACAGGACCTTTGCTACAAAGTACCACCATATTATCAAACCTAAATGGATCGACTTGAAATTTCGATAGTACACTCCAACCTCCCAAGCACAACTTTGGGGTAAATTTTATTACAAGCTAACATGGGCACGATAGAGAAATAACGTAACTAACTTTCGTGCAAAATGTCGGTAAGGGGCCCATGGAAAACAACAAAATATGCATTTTGCGCATAAGCAAAATGCAAGAAACACACCACAACAACGAACTTACACACAAACAGCGCATTTTTGGAGTCACCCAACGGACAGGAAAACCACAATGTTGCGCACAAAAAAAATTAACTTGGTGCCGGCCAAGGACACCTACAACCACCTCACAATCAATCCACCTCACAATCAATCCATGTAACCCACAAGTCGTGGGTGCAACATGGCCTTGCCCTGCTGTCTGCCAGGGGTCCACCTGTGCACCACAAGCATTTCCCACTTGAATTGGGGAATACTATCATGGTCACAGTGAAACCCGTTAGGAGCGAACATTCCAGAACCACATAGTTAACAGAAAAAAAGGCGTAGGAGAACACAAAGGAGGACAACCTTTTGCGCGCGCCGCGCGCGCAAACACAGGCAAACAAATGGCAATTTTGCGCACAAATTTCCCTATTTTTTGACGGCCAATCTTGAGCACAACCGTTTTGCCCAAAAAACACATAATTGTGATGTTGTGCACAAGTGCACCTTTTCGGACCTTACCGACATTTTGCACGAAAGCTAGTTACGTCTCAAAATCATATACGACAATTAGTATAGGACGGAGGAAGTACAACACATGCAAAATTGCACTGATTAAACAACATACAATGCAACAACACATTCCCACTCGCACGTCCATAGTCTCCACCGAGAGAACCTATCACTTGCCCTGTCCTTGTGGTCGCTTAGTTCATGGGATTGAGCATCTTTATCCATAGGTGTTGTTGTCCCAATGGTGCTATTCAGGCATCCGAATAGCACCACACATCAAAACACCATCATTAATGGTTGGGGAGCAACAACACCCCAATAGTGCCGCCAATTCTATTAACGGTTGGGGAGCAATAGCACCCCAATAGCGCCCCCCGGAGTTATTCGGTGCCAAGCGGTGCTATTCTGGGCTCGAATAGCTTCACTCGAGGCCAAATAGCACCCCAGAATAGCACCGGTGCTATTTGCATGGAACATTGTAGTGTTGCCATGGTGCTATTCGGCATAGGAATAGCACCTACAATTGCAAATGCGCGCAGGGGAGCACTACCACCAGTGTTATTCGGTAAATGCCGCCTTAGTATGGTGACACGATAGCCAATGAGAACCGTTCCTGGATAGCACCGATGGTGCAATAGCACCGACCGATAAAGGTGCTCTTAGTGCACATGGAACACCCAAATGACAAGGGGCAAGAACCGATGAAAATGAATTATGCTGCCAACATCGTTCGTGTGGCGATAACCCACGTAACTTAGCCACGCCAAACGGATGCTGACCAGGTTTGTCCTGCTGCAGAGCCGTAATTGTCGGACCAGTTTTCACAACGAGCTGGTGGGCATCAAATGCGGTCCCAACCGTTGGGAAACACCGCGGTCGCCTCCTTCCCCGTAGGCGAAACAGACACATGCACTGTCCGTGGACAGTTCGGAATCATAGCCACGAACGCAACAGCGATGGTGGGCCCAGAAAAAAAGTGTTGTTACAACAATGTTCTGTGCGTATTTATACTTAAAAAAGTGTGTCCCAGTCCCCTGTCACAGCCACCTTTCGAGAAGCCTCCAAAGCTGCAATCCCCGGTACAGGACCCCATGAGATTGTCCCCAAACATCTCGAGTTCTCCAACACCGGTCTCCAGCCTGGTACAACCCATCATACACTCCATAAAACCGGCTCAATTCGGTCCCCAGCAAGCGATTCCAGTCCCATGCAATCGTGCTCAGTTCCAAGTACGTCCCTCCATAATGATCCAGTACTCAAATCAATCAAATCAGCAAAACACGATGAAGTTGGTAATGCCTGCCAGTACATTCCCTAGTTCCAGCCTTGACACTCCATCAAAACGAACGTGTGCAACTAGAATAGCTCACTGATGATGAATTCCCGGCTCAGTTCTCCATTCCCGGCTCAGGGCTCCGTGCTGGCTTAGTCACACAGCAGGGGGTCGTACATTGGGGCCTTGCAGCAAGGGCAGCTCTCTCCAGGTGGACTCCTGGACAATGCAACGGAACAGGACAATTAGCACGCCTTTAACTCACTAATTCTAGGCCGTGCTCAGCAACTCGAACAAGGTTGCAGCAGATCAGATTAACCAATCAAACAGCTAATGATGCACAACACCAAACTGGTCATCTCAGTAAGGGTACTTAGAGAATCGCCACATTCGCTGCCACAGGTAAAGCCGGCTGGCCAGCACTGGCCTACGCGCGCCTGTTCGCCTCCCCATGACACCTTGACGACTACCCGCGCGCCAGGGGCTGCACAGCCCGCCCCTTGGCGCCAATGGCCGCCGCCTGTCCCCCGCCCACAGCCGGCTGAACTTCCCGACGTCCCACAAAACCCACCCGTCCCTCCGCGCACTCTGTATCATTTTTCCCGCCGTCGATCCGAACCAGCAACCGCCCAAGGCGTCCGCACGCCATCCCGGCATCGCGGCGCTGATCTCGACGCGTCGTTTGGCCAATCGGCGTCGATCGAAAACGCGGAGCGCCTTGCATCGGGGTGGGCCTCTGGGGTGACGGTCTCGCTGGATGTCAGCCCTCTGCAGGGCGATCCAAGGCCTGGGCGCATCCGGTTTGGGTGGCTGAGAGTCGGACGTCGCGCTCTGATTGTCTCTGGCTCCGCGCCGGAGGAGCCGGAGGGCCCGGAGGTGGCCGCTGAAGGCCGCGGGGGCCCGCCACCGCCCCACAGATGAGCGTCGACACGGGGCGATCGGATCTCTTCGCGGATGCCGGGCAGCAGGACGTGGTAAATGATCTCACGGCTGCGGGACCGTGGGAAATTTGGGCCCTGTGTCCAGTTCCTTTGGCGGACGACCTTCACTGTGCGGGCTGCGGTGGTCGAATGGAGTCTGGTGATCGCCGATGCGGACACTCTCTGGTGCGGTCCAGGTCCTGAGCCTCAAGGCGCAGCTGAACGAGAAGGACCTCGAGCTCATCGAGCTGCGGCAACAGCACAAGCAGCTGAGGGTAAGAATGCAAAGCGGCCTACGTACTTCCATGCTGCTGTCCATGGCCCCAGGAGCTTGCCATTCTGAAGACAAAGATGGGCCACTTCCCCTTTCAACAGAGAAGAAGACCCAAGTGCAAAAGCACCTCTTTCCCCTGACCGGGGAACATCTGTTCGGGAATCTTTCATAAGCTGTAGGGATGGTACAGAATCTTCAAGGGGCGGTGGGAAAGGAGGCCTGCAGACCAACTGAAATTCCTAGAAAGAATGCCCTTGAAGAATGCCCTTGGGAATGTGTTGTGTACCATGTGCCCCTCGTTTTCCTGGAACCTCAATAAAACTCCTTGCTGTACATGAACTTGGTTCTATGCAGGAGGCACTTCTTTTAAAAATTGAATGGGGAGCAACATTTAACTACACAACCTGGTTGTGGAATGATTCATTGGCTGCTGCTTTGGGAGCTCGAGAATCTAGAGAGTGTATTGTTGTTAGTTTCAAGTTGAATGCACATGTTTTTCAGCTGCCCCAAGAGTGCATGTGCTGAGCGATGAAAGCATCAGTCCCAGGCGATAAGGTGTAGCCTGTGCCTCGATGACTGCCTCTCAAGTGATATATGCGAAATTAAATGGGCATACCTCTGCCAAGTAGCAATCTTGAATCTCTTCATCCCATATTGCAAAGACGACCTGGGGTCTGCTGTGTCCACAGGAGCGGTCTCAGGAAGCAAGAGATAATTTTGAGACTGCCCTAGAGTGCAAGGACGTGGCCGTCCTGCAGCTCGAGGAAGTCCTTTCTGACCGAGAGCGAGCATTGGAGGATGCCACGGATGTGCAGCGGGAACTCACAGAGCTCAACGAGAAGGCTGTGAAGGAACTTGACAGGCAAAGAGAAAAGGTGAAGCTGTGCCATGCCCTACAAGCTGGACTTCAACTGTGTTGCACCACTTCTGGCAACACTAATGCATGTTTAACACAGGAAGAAAACTTGCCATGCCATAGCCTGCCTTGTCTGTCGCAGATTCGCATTGATTCTATCAATTCAGCACACTACAGCATTACAAGACAGCTGCCACTCAATCGAAGGAAGCAGGATCTTATACTGTGCCACTGCTTGCCAGTCTAACTGGCCTATGTGCTGTCAACACAAGCTTTGAATTGGGCACAACATGCTCTGCCTGCATGAAAAATACCAGCAGCATTTTCAGATGTGCTCTGTGGTCTACTGGGTCAATCATCTGTGCTTTTGACAAAAAGATTGTTTGATTAGCAACTGAAAAGCCCAAGATCAATCCCAGAAATGCCTATAGGACCTATAGTACCCAAATAGCTAAATTGACCCTTGACATGCTGTGGATCTCAACGATGCCATGGAGCTAGTGGGCCTGAATGGGATCAAGACAGACCCGTAGGTTCACTTTGTGGGCGAGTTGCCATCTGCATTGTGTCCTGCAGTTGTTTGCACTTTTGACACTGCAAAACTGTTTAATTCTTTTTGTGCCAAAATCGGTAAGTCCTGAATCCAGATTGCCTTAACATACTTCTAAGATACTTTTGTACCTCTGGTCTGTTGCTTCCAGCTGCAGCAGCTCGAGAAGGTCGTCCAGGACACGAAGGCGGACCTGTCCTCTGCTGTGGCTGAAAAGAATGAGGCAGAGGCAGAGGTCTTCAAGCTCCGGGTACAGCTCGAGTTGGCTGCCAAGCAGGCCGAAGACCTCCTTTCCAGCCAGCAGCAGGCTGTTGCAGAAATCAAGGAGGCAAAATCTGGTGGGTGAGCTGGTGCTCCCACCCTCAACTGCCCTTGGGACTTCCGCTGTCAACTACAGGCTTGCAAGTCACAATGAGTATTCCGCTTGAATGCAAGCTCTGCAGAGTTCTGTCACATGCCCAGGCGATTTGGCAAGTTATTCTAAACTCTAAACTTAGAGTACTGGAGAATGTGAGGGACTGCAAAGTGAAGGGCCTGTTGCTCAAAACTACAACCTGTCTCAGCCCTGCAAGGCCATGTTAATCTCCTGATGTGGCATTGGATGCTGGCCGGCAGATCTTCGGGCTATTCAGTCAGAGTGTGCAAAAAGAGCAATTGGTTGTAAACAGGGAACAGACAAGTTGTTCTTGCTCTTCTTCTGAGCTCTTGTGAACAGCCTCTGAAATTGCACAACACGATAAAGGGCAGTTCCCCGCCATGTTGTTGACACCGTAGCCAATGAAGGCTTGCTTCGTGGGGTGTGCACACCATCATCTGTTGCGCTGCTGGTCCCAGCATCTCATTTGCCTAATGATAGCAGGCCCACGCTGTTGAACGGACAACGCATTCAGAGCAGTGTAGATTCTCGCAGTCGAGCTTGTGGGTGCAGATCAGAGGGTTGCCATGGTCCTGATGGGCGAAAATCAACTCATGATGTGAGGCTGGCCACGATGCAGACGAGCGTCTTAAGCGTTGGCTGCATGTGTGGGAGAAATTGTGGGATGTGGAACTATTGATGGTGTCCATTGGGATCCTGTTCCATCCCAACACGCCCTGAAATATAGAATGGTGTAAAGGTGGAACGGTATGATAGAAAGGTAATCTGGGAAACACTGCCAGGAACGCGTTATGCAACTGTTTGTGATGGGGTATTTGAAATTGAAAGAAAAGCATGCACTGGAGATGGAGTTCCTGTCGTTTGTGCAGCAGTTTGGATCCTTGAATCCCGATCGCACACCGCCACAACATCACGTGACATTGGCCGGCATAATGAACGCTTTCATCGTGCTTTCAAGTTGATATGGTTCAAATTGATTCCCACCAGCCACACCTTTCTGCTCAGCCTGTGCAGCGTTTTAGCCTGCTGAAATGTGCTTTGGTCGCATTTTATTACTTGGATAAAACAGCGGACTCGCACCAGGAATTCCAAGAACCAACGCTCGTGAGCCGATGACGAGCACCTATGACCTCTGCAGTGCTGGCTCCAGCAGTAAGCCAGAATGCCTCATAAGGCCCATCCACATTATCATACAGCGCCGGCATGGGCTCTGCCTTGCGTGTGTGCACGATATTACTATTGACTCTACTTGCATAACAAAAAGTCTGTGTATTGTACATTGTATGCGTCTCCACCATACTTTGGAGCCATTGCTTTAGGACTACAGGGGTGGACACTATATACCCATATGACCCTGAAATTCACACTCTTCAGTTTGCTGTGAGCGGCCCCAACAGACGAAACAACATCGTTGCTGATTGACTGTAGATTATTATTGCTCTTGGTGATAGTCAATTGCTGAATGCGCCATGCATTCGAATGCACAGTCTTAAAAAGTTGCCTATGCCTTCAGGCGAATTGCAGTCAGCACAGCAGCACTCCGCCAGGCTTGAGAGCGAGTGCCAAACTCTGCGATCGGAAAATTTGGAACTCCGACAAGCAATATGGGAGAGGGAGAGGGACATCAGTGATCTCCGGCAAAAACAACAAGTGTGGCCGCCATATGCCTCTGGGATGTCCCACGCGTACATTTGCAGAAGCACTTCGTGTGGCAAATTCTGAAAGCAACAAAAGTCCGTTTGCGCCACGTACCACTTTTGGAGTCCTTTGATGCCATGCATTTCCAGAGACATTGAGATATCGCATCAGCTGGCATTGAGCAATGGATCGAGCATTGATAAAGTGAATGCGCATATGATGGTGAAAAAAGAATGAACGGCGGATAATTGATAACGTTGACAATGATCACAATGGTAATATATTACAGCCATTCAAATGGCAGAGATTTTGGTTTAAATGTATTAATCTCTGTCAGTGCACATGTTCTTGAACGCGGTAGTCGAATTAATATTGAGCAACTATCGGTGACTTTTCTGCACAAAGAGTAAGAGTTAAGGATCCAATGTTGTGTCTTAGTCAACGTGTTCAATGTAACAATGAGTTGCGGCAAACACAGCAAAACAATGACGCGTGAAAAAGGCAACAAATTCACCAGAATGCCATTTCTAAAAGGCTTGCTATGCAGGGCACTGGCGAAGAGGCACAGAACACAAGACCAATATTGCACAATTTGGTCTATTTGACGTGGAAGTTCTGCGTCAATTTAATCAGAATGCCTAAAATGCACAATGCCTTGCCACGGGCTATTCCCAGGCGGGATAAATGAAAACCACTGACGTGCCGTGGCAAGCCCTTGGATGATTCACGCAAGTACTTCAAAAGTGCTTCAGAACCACTTGCATGAAGTGCAATCCAATCGCAAGGGCAATGCCATTGAAGGGCAGGTCTTCAGAATGATGACCGCCGTTGCCATTCCCGTTCGCTCCCAGGACCTTCGCGATAGATTCGCCAAAATTCGAGACGAGGCCATGGGCGCAGCGCCCAACGCGGGCGCCTATCCCCGTTGCTGCAGGATTTCCGCAGACTGGCACGGCTCTGATTTGAGGAATTCCTGGCCTGGCACTCGAGGAGGTGCGGGACAGGTGTGCGTGGATTTTCATTGAGTTTTACTAGAAAGTTGGTTGTCCTAATTGTCAGCATACATGCAATTCGCCGTGTGCGCTTCGGGCGGTGCTAGTACAGCGAAGCGCATAGTCTGGCACCCAATTCACAGGTGGGGTATTGCATTATTTGATGATCACTGCGCACTCTGCCCGGATCAATATTGCCAGCGACATCGCCGTCCTGTTGCAAGTCACCATAGCGCCATGGACATGGAAAATTTACTCCGATGGGGTCTTTGAAGCTGCTCGCTGCCTTCTGGCAGTTTGTTGCTTGTTCAGTCCGTTCGATGGAAGAATTTCCCGTTTCGCATCCCTCGTTATTTTGCCGACACCCGCGACGACAATGCAGAAATCAGTGGTGTCCTGATGAGGTATTTCGGGAAGAGGTGTGCCACACCCACTGGATGGACACAGTGCACACTCATGGCCCAAACGCCGCAATCCTGAATGTTTATAAAATCTCTAAATCTTGCGCAAATATTGCCATTCCTAACGCACAGGACAGCCTGACGGATGGCCTCCAGCGGCAATTGATGAAGGCGCAGGATAAGCTCGAGGCGCGGGAGGCGTCATCAAGAAGGTACAAGGAAGCCGTTAAGGCATTGAAGGTGAGGATAAGACAGTGAATGTTCTCGGGCAGCCATGTCAATTTCCGAACAAACATGGGCACAGCTACGGAACTACTTTTAGGTGCGTACTTGCACGGTGTGACGTCCTGTTTTCCAATGAACCATTGCCAGCACATTTGCCTGCGTACACACCAAAGTGTATATCAGATATACACATAGGTATGTAGGCAGCTAAATGTGCAGGCGTGTCCATGCATCCCGTACGCACAATAGAGGTATGGCGGCAGGGCGTCCTGTACCGTTCGATGGATGTCATGGTGGAGATGCTCCATAATTTCGATTGTCGATTGCGTCGTTTTGCGTATTGTGCCGTGACGCATGATGTAACTCTGTGGTTATTGCAATTCACGCTTGCTTGCGAAATGCATCACTGGATGGTATGAGCGTTTGCGAGGAGTGCCCTTGCCGATTGAAGTTTGGCACGTTCAGGCGTCGGTGACTAGAGTGCGAGAGTCAATTGAACGTTCCTCCCGTTTCCAGTACCTCTACATGAAATGGAATCTGTGCATTGAACTACTTACAAGAGATGCACAATGTGCGATAAAATGGAGGTTGTGTCTGCGACATTGGAATAATTAATGTGCAACAGCGGCCACAGCTTTACTCAGATCATTTGTCTGCATCGCAGTGTTTCAGCAATACGAACATTATTTTGCCAATAGCTAGCAATACGTGGCGTCTTTGCGCCATATTTTGTTGAAGCTGAATGTTTAGCACACGAAACACGTGAATTCCATCAAATTCACGGAACGCTCCACTCGCTCCCCTTGGTGGCCAGTACAAGGTACACTACTTCCTTACTTACGACAAGCATTGAAGTGCTGTAGCTGCCGTTATATGGTGTCTTGTGCTTTATGCATGCGTGGCATTCATCATCACCTGATATGCATATGGCACAGGCAAGACTCCGAGACCTGGAGGCGAAATGTGCGTGTCAGAAGCAAAAATGTAGCACGCTGGCCGCCGAGCTGGATGAGGCTAAGGCTTCCATTCAAATTGCGGGTATGGGGTCCCATACCGCCGACGGGGAACTCCAAATGAAAGCCCTGATCAAGAGAAGGGAGCTTGAACTCGAGGAAGCCAACTTGGAAATTCAGCGGAAAGGTACAAACGCACTTTTGGTGCACGTTTTTCTTTCGGAAATGCTGATATTTAGCACAATGATTTTCCATTTGGCACATTGTTTATGGTTCTGGTATCCCTGCACCTTTGTGACAGTTTGTTTTCGTTGTTTTGGAGAGCTTTGGAAGTTGCTCTTTTTCATGTCGTCATTTTGTGAGTGGTATTTTGATGATCGTCTGTGTTTGTGCTAACAGAACATGCTGGATCGGGGTAATCTGAATGTTTTTCTAGGCCTAAACGGTACTCACCTTCACTAGTGTCTCACGATTTGTGCAGCGCTAGTTACAACGTATACCTACGTTGAGCATGTAGCTCGAATAATTTACTTATTTCATGTTAGATACACGAAGTAGAAAATGCCACACAATCCATCACAGAAGATGTTTTGGGGCATATGCGATCCATCTATGGGCATTTGGCAGTTGGATCGGGCTGTGCTACAGGAACTTTCCCTGTTAGCGTGTCCAGGACACACTGACAGGACCTATTAGAAACCAGTTCTACATGTAAACGCCACCTGAGTTATGCATTATGGCCTGGACAGACAGCTCATTTTAGATGGACAGACAGATAAACAGACCATCATCTGCATGAATTTACCCTGTAGACCATTGAAATGCGATAATATTTGTGTCGGAGCGTTTCCACAGTGATGAGGATGGGAAAGCAGCGTACAAGATTTGACAACCGCACTGTGAGTCAAGCGCAACCAGTATGCAATGATCAAAGCTTGGTGTCCTGTGCCCTATGTGTGCTACAACGAAGTATTTACTACCAGTATATGCCTTGTATTGCCGTATGTGATGTAATGTACTTCCTCTGTCCGGATTTAAATGAAACAATTTGTTGGGAGGCTGCATTCGTATCAATTATTTGCTTGTTTTTCCTGAAAATGCAGCCACCGCACCTACTACACATGTATTAGTTGCTGTCAGAAAATCAGAAGGAACGGTTGAGCATAGCGCATTCGGACAATGCATTGAACCTGTGCCACTCCATTCCAGAATTTGGATGCTCCTGGGGCACCCCCGCCCACGAAAAAATAGTTTCCCAGGCCCGGGATGGCCCAACACACATGTGCGGCCCCTTTTGGTGGACTTCAGGGAACTGGAAAGGCAAAGCGGCCAGCCTCGCTCAGGCTCTAACGCAACGATGGGCACTAAACGCGATGGACAACCAGTGGAGATCGCGGATGGTTGCGCATCTCGCCATAAGTGACTGGCAGAAATCCCCGCCATCGTCCACGGCGATGCCCCGACTTATCTGGGATCTGCTATGGCCAGCAGGTCTTTTGGCGTCTGAAGGCTTAGCCTTGGAACAGCTGCGTGCGCAAAAGGCTCTCTTTTCGTTGCGGATCTCGAATCAATGTCCGGGTTGGTGCATGGAACGCCCCCTCACAAGATGGCATCAATCCACCCAAACTCGACCGATGGAGGGTGCGGATGCTCCATCGGAGACCCCAAGTGGTGTATGGTGGTGCTCCTGCTTTCCGCAAGGGCGACGTAAAACATCTGTTGCAGTAGCATCTCTCAAAGCGGCGTGAACCGCAAACGAAACGCTCCTTGTGGTGGATGCCTGGGTCAGCCGCGTCCAGCGATCTTTTCGTTGTGAAGCGAGTTGACAATCCTATTATTCCAAACTCTCTGTGGTGGCATGAACACTTGCACCCACCTTGCCCAGGGCGGCGGCTCCATTTGAAAACGTCCTGATCGTGAAGTTCGCCGATTTCCGGGTTTCCAATCCGAAATGGAAATGTTCCAACGGCCATCAAAACCACGGTCGCGATCTACTATCGAGCGGTAAGGATCTCGGTTCCGCGGCCTCTGTGCTTCGAGAGGAAGGCCTCCGACCTGCCGCCACAACGGCAGCCGCAAGTATCCACTCTGCGCCACGCGCCAACAGTCGCCAAGCGACCTGGCCAAGGGGTCATTTTGGGGGGGGTCGGCGCGTCAGCGTAAGAAATCTGGAGTCTTTGGAAAAGTCATGTGGGTTCAAAGTACTGCGACATGACCTGTACTTATCCGTTCTTGACAAAAAATTTGACGGGATGTAATAACTTCGCAGGCAGTGCTCTGGCCAAAATTTCAAGGAAAAATAGTAAGTGCGTGATAAAAGTGGCCTCCCAAGCAAATTGTTTCGTTTTCGTTTTTTCAATTCCGGACAGAGGAAGTATAGTTTGCAATTCACCATGGTGTACAGTACTGCACGGTGCAAAGCACTATGCGCAGTGCCATGTTCATCCCATCGTACCGGCAAACGTGGTGCGTCACTTCCTGTCCCTCCCCTCATTTGTCCTTAGCCTCTGCATCAGTAAAATGCTGTTGATTGTAATGAAGTGTGGCGCCACATTAGCGCCCATTAATGTTCGATTGAAGCACTAAATGTTATTACATGAACCCCTCGATTGATCATTAATGTAATTGACAGTTCAACTATATCCAATGCCTTGAACATTTCAAGTACCTCTTCCTTGCGTGGGTAAGAGCAAACAGATCTTTTCCCCGCCGATTTTCTTTCCAGTCTGTCAATTTGCTTTGGTGGCGCACGGTGATCGTTCATCATTCAAAATTGTGGCTATTTCAATCCCAATCCGACCTACACCAATGCTGGCAAAAACCGTCCATAGCCAGCGATTTAGTTCACCGTATGAACTGTGGCAAGCTTTCTGAAAATCGAGTACCCATCGTGTACGTTTTCTTGACACATCTCCGTGGTGTTTAAGAGTGTATAGTGCATCGTGCAGTACTGTATATCATAGGGGAGCACCAGATCATGAAATATTCTCAGTTCTTTAGTTGCAGTTTTGCAATCTAAGCGATGCTCCCCTAATCCTATCTTAACCCTCATCTCATAAAATAGTCCTCATCTAGATCTGTTCTCACCTAGTCACCGATTTGATCTGCTCCTCACCTACAAGGTGAGGCCAGTAGTCTGATGTATTTCCCCTCCTAATCTCTCAACGTGAAATGCAGACAGGGCGCTGGAGAGCAGCGCAGAGGATCTCAAAAGAAAGGAAAGAAAACTGCAAGAGGCGACAAGGTGTGGGGGGTTGCACCGTCGGTCCTGAAACCCCTGCAAGCATTTCCCAGTCACTGGTAAAGCATTGGGGCGCAATAGGATGATGTGTATGGACCATACAATTCAGATACCCCGACTGGATGTCTCAAAACACATTGCTACACACAGTGCAAAATTATCGCCCTGGCAGGGCTCCTCACCGAGCTTGTGAGCAATAACAAGAAGTGATGGCAGCCATGTAGTTTGTATGCACAGACATCATCATCATCAACATCGACGGGAGTTTGACTTTGGAGAGATTGCATTAAATGGATCGCTATGAAGCACTGATCAGAGAGGATTGCAAGCTCAACAGAATTGTCGGCAGCGCATGAGAGCGGACACAAGTCGATCTGCTGATCGTACCTGTTACGCCATGACAGTCGCGCAGATTCGTCGGAGCAGCGCGCGACCCAACTGGCGAGTCGGCTCATTGACACGGAGAGAAGGTTCAGGGATGCCATGATGCGGTGCGATGATGCAGACGGCAGACTGCGCCGGGCGGAGGACGAATTGGAGAAGGCCAGGAAGTGCGTCGCAGGAACAGTGGACGCACCCCATTAGCGGAGATTATTTACATACATAAGTAAAAAAAGGGCCAAAATACACATTTTCGAGCCCTGTAAAGTCGCGTAAAACTGTGCCAAGAAGGTTAAAATCATGCACACTCGCTCAACCGTTGCAACACGGTTTGGTTCCTGTCTTATACGATAAACACACGATTTGACACAATTTTTCACGATTTTCATTCCTGTTACACCGTGCAGGATTTTCAAAACCGTGTATTTTGGCCTGTTGTTTACTAACAGTATTTGCGGCCCCCGCTCGCTAGTTTGTTGATGAGTAGCCTTGTGCCCTCGGAAATTACTATTAAACAGAGCGCAAGCAATTGGGTTGGAGGAATTGTCGAAATGTGCACACAGGCTTAGTTTTTACGCCGTAAATACAGAACGTGTTTACGTTTTGCGTGCAAAAATAGTTTTTACGTTTTTGCACATAAAAGTACGTAAATTCAACGTAAAACTGTCCGTGTACATTGTGCCTGTGCTGCGTGATCAACCCGTGACCGACTTCCCCCGCGCTCGCCATGGGGCACAAGGCCGTCCGCAAGCATGTTTAGGGTGTGACAGGCTTGCAAACCACCCGTGCATACTGCCAGAAAGTCATGAAGGGCGGTGAGGGGCGCCAATGCTGCCATCTCACTGGCATGGCCGACCCCCGCGCGGCAATATGCATTGGAGAAGTGCCCCGGGATGTCAGGGAGGAGTTTGCACTCCACCACGCGGTGCATAAAAAGAAACATGAAGGGAAGGCGCGCGCCAAGGCCGGAATCCTTATCACCACAAAGGCGCGGCCTGCTTGCACAGAGCTGCCCATGGGTGGCACCAGTTCGGTGTCAGCCGCCAGCCGCCACCAGGCCGTGGACCTGGTGCCAGGCACCGGTTCAGGCGCAATCATGAATGCAATGAAAATTGTGGGTAAGAAGTTGTTGACCAGGCATGGGCCATGGCGTTCTATGGCTGCAACATACCCAACGTTGTGGCAAGTGTCGCAGCCGTGTTGCGGGTGCTGGAGATGGCGGAGGACTGATCACTGTACGTGACTTTCAGCGTGTAACCTGGGTGTCCGATCAAGACGTAAAAACGTGAAAACAGCCACAAAAATAGCCCACTTTGTAAATTGAAGTTTTTAAGCGTTAAAACATGAATGTGAAAACGTAAACATAAACGAAAATACCAAGCCTGTGTGCACAGATGGACCTGATCCAAATAGGCTGCATCTCTTTGGCAATCAAGAGAAGGCTGAATCATAAACCGCGTGCAGTTGCAGCTTTGTGAGCTCTGCGCGTCCTGACACGTTGCTTGTGTGAAAGGGGTGAAGAGGATGCCCAACACACACTGTCTGTCGCGGAGAAGGACGAGAAGGAAGTCGCGAAGTGAGTGCATGGCTCAACGCGGATTGTAGCATTGGCAAGGAATATTTGTGATTTGAGTTCCATGTTTGCTTTCTGTGAATGATCCAAATGGTCTCACCACGCAGCAAGATCCCGACCTTTCCTTCGGAAGGCGATCAAAACTCAGCCCTATATTTTCAAGAAGAATTCGAACACAATTGATCTGTTTTACAATACCAACTTCAGCAGGCACGCTTGGACATTTAGAACTGACATTCCTTCTGGTTTTCGTTCACGGTTGAGAGAAAGCAATGCTTCTTGTAGGCACCGGTCCCTGTTTAGTGCTGTCTACCCAGATTCCTCGAACTATTTAGCGCAGTTTGCGTACTTGCTCCAAAGTGCACATTTCAATGTGGATTTAAATCTGCTTCTCATGTTAATCCAGCGGCATGTCTTTCGTAGGCGCTGCAAGGCTCTCGAGGGGAAGCTGCTGTCCGCGGAGAGGAGGGCTGAGGAGGAGGGGAGGTGACGTCACGCCGCAATTATTGATTGCCAAATTGACACAGGAAGGCGCTCGAACAGCGCTGCACCATTTCTGGATGCCCTGTTTGAAAATCAACAGCGCGCTATAATTCTCTGACCGGAAAGCAGATTGCCGGGTCTCTTCGTTGCGATTGAGCATTGCAGCGGCTGCAGCGCACTTGACCCTAGTAGCGACTGCGCAGGATTCCTGTGATGGAGGAGCTGCAATTATTCTTCGCGCACTTGAGTTTCTCTTTTTCGCTGACAATACCCTTATGCCAACCGTCGGTTCATGTTTTAATGAGCGCTATTAGGAGAAGAGTTATGCCATCGAAATTGCCCACACAGGCAGCAGCTTTGATGAAGGTAATGAGGGTCGCTGATAGAAAGTGTTTGGCAACTGCCCGAAGTGCTATTTGTCAGCATACGAGCATGTAGTTTGAACACAACTTAAGAGGCATAATTTGCAGCACATTCCAATGCGCAGCAGATCATCAGCGCTTCAGGCACGAGTAGGCTTTCCCTCTAAAGAACCTACTGCAGGCCCAGTACATTGCTACCAGGAACAAGCTCCCAAGTCCATCCCGCTTATCGTCCCATACAGAGTGCCCCCTTGTCTGCAGGAGATACGCGTCCTTAGAGAGGAAGCACGAGGATGCGTGCGCCAGCCTTGAGGGGCAGAGCCTGCAGGTCGAGCGCCTGGAGCGCCAGGCGGAGAAGGCAGAAAGGCGGGCTGCCGAACTCGAGGAGGCGCTCGCGGAGGAATGCAGGAGGGGCAAGCAGAGGGAGGGGCAGGCGGCTGAGAACGAGTGGAGGGCACGGGAGGCAGAGAATTGGATGTCACAGGTAGACACTGAGCACTTCTGCTTATTAACCAGCTAACTACCGATGGCTGAAGTAACTAATGGCTACCGTAGTATATTCAGCCCTTCCGCATCAAGCAACATCACCATTACGCTTGCTGCTCCACATCGCTTTCAGAGCGTCACTATTTTCTTGCGTTGCTCCGCAAGAACTTGTAATGGAAGGGCGTTGTTTATTTTATTGTTTTCTCCACAAAAAGGTGCCAAGTGTTTAGTTGCTTCGCAAAAAGGTTGAATATAGTCAGTAGAAAAGAGCCTGTTTGGGGTGCCAACTGCGATGCAATTTGACAGAAATTGATGCCATCGCATTCGCTGTGAAGGCACCACTCTGTGTCAAAATGGCATCGCAGTTGGCATCGCAAACATGAAGTCTTCTAGTAGTGTATATTACGGTAGGTTTGAGCCCTCGGAGTTGTGTTTGTTGCTCGCTGCGAGCTCAGGGCCTTAAGTGCCAAGCTTGGAATCAAATTTAGGGATGACGGGTGCATAGAAGCCAGGTGTGCTGTGCTCAGTGCCATGCTTTGAATGGGCGACTAAGTGGTGCTGAAATGTGCAGCACCAGCAGCTGGTGCATGTGCTGATTCTTTATTGACCAAATGTGGCACCGGATGTATCGCAAAGTATTGGAAAACACAATTCCGCATGCGTTGCTTAATTGCTGGACAATTGCGCGCCGAGTCCAGAAGCAAAGATTGGGAGAATGCGCTCGTGCATGCGTTTGAATCGTGCACCAAAGACACACCTAGGGTTGGCACAAATAGCGTAATCGGGGCAGTGGATCTGGTGACGATAGAGAAGAATTAGCCATTTCAGTCTCTTTCGATCCCTATTTGAATTCCAATGTATTGGCGAGAACAATGCGCTGTACATTCGAATGGACGAAAATGGACCAGCGGTCCAAATTTAAATAGAAAATGGATAAACACTTTGAAGTTTATTATTATAGTTGTGATTGCGGTTCCAATTTCTATCAGCGCCGTCTCTGTTCACGCGAACTGCTCAGGTCGAACAACGCGCCAAAGACGCGGAGTCGAGGGTGGCCGACGGTGAACAAAGGCTGAAAGCAGCGGAGGCGCGCAGCAGGCAGGCCGAGGTGAGTGGGATTAAGGTGCTATAAAGTGAATGTGCTCTCTCAAGACTTTCAATTCAATATGCGGAACATTTGCCTGTGCAACTACACGATAGATTGTGATCGCACCGGATATGTGCAAGCTGATGAAGATGTGTGCACAGGACAATGTTGGCGTACCCCGCGCCTGTCGTTGTGTGTTTCAGCGGGACGACGCTGTTGTGGCTTATGTGCATCTGCATATCTGGCGCCTTGTATGCACTCAGCTATCTTCCGATACAGCTTCTAACGACTAATTTACAACATTGATTGCACGTTTAAATGGTGTTTAAATAATATGTACTTGGCAGGCAAATCGCCCAAAATATCCGGAACCCAGATGACCGCGTGATGCTGATGCTGCCATCACTATGCTGCCGTCAGAGCATTGCCAGCATCCATCGAATGTGTACATCATACAAGTGTCGCATCACAGTGAGGAATCCAGATAGTTGTTTGAGGATTCCATTCTGAATATTGCATCGCACTTTGTTAAGAGATTGGGAAAAGTGGTACGAAACTTATTGCTTCGTTGTATCGTTTTTGCCTGTATGTGTACGGCGTGTTGTATAGATTGTGTCTGGCGTGCACAGAGTTTGTTGAAGTGCTGACTGGGAAGTGCCTTGCATGTTGGCAGTCCCGTTCCATGGAGGCCGAGCGTCGCGCGGCGGAGGGAGACGCCCGAGCGGCGGCTCTGGAGCGCCGTCTCAGGGAAGCGGAGTCGCGAGCGGAGGAGGCGGGCAGAATGTGCTGCGAGGCAGAGCGGCAGGCACTGGAGGCGCGTAACCTGGCCAGGACTGCGGAAGCCGCAATGCAGGAGGTATCGAAGGAATCGAAATGACGGGAATCTGCGAGCAAAGAAGTTCAGATGAATTGTGTGCCGTTCTGCTTCATCGGATGTCTAACACCTTGATACAGAACTACATCAGATAAATTAACGGATAAGTGAAAGAAATATAATATGACATATACCTGAATCTGCTATTGCGATACGTTGTTGTGAAGTCGATAGAGTCACTGTGGATGTGTTTTCAGTGCGGAACTTCAGCGAAGTGAAGATGCCAACTTACATTCCTCTCGCTTCCCATCACTGCCGTCGAACATGCCGCAAGTTGCAAACAGTCGCAAAAACAGTCACGGGCGCGGGCGGCTGTAAGCGCCAATGGGACGGGCAGCATGCAAGAATCTGACTTGTTGCAGCAGCTTCGCAGCGACAGGGATGAGGAAGTTTCCAAACTGCAGGGATCATCTGAGGCCCGGAGGCGGCAAGAGGCTCAGGAACTCTATGAGCTCAGACTGGAGGTACAGAATCTGAGAGCCTGCAAGGTGGGTCGCCGCCGTGTACGGCGCTTCAGAAATCTGCCTGCGCTCCAACACTCTGTTTCGGAGAGCAGGGCAACGTTTGGTACTTTAGAATGCTTGTTTGTATCACATTTTCTAGGTGATGTGGACACCGAGTACGTGTTCGACAAAGTCACTGTACTTGTGCCGGTTGGCAATCATGACTGCGATACGACTTGGCACGCACACTGCGGCCTAGGACCATCGTGCAAGTAATGGATTCTAATGAAGATGCGATGCGTCTGTCGGTGCTGCTGAAGCGTTGCACCACTAGAAAGTGAATGTGCGCGGGTGCTGGCCCCCAGCGATCGCTGAATTTAGGAAATTTGCATTTGTCAGCATCGATGTATTTTGAGGTATTGAGCATTGCAAATTTAGCTGCTCAGAGCATCAACAACTTATTGTGTTAATGAATGGGCTGAGCAATACGCAGTATGAAGAACAAAGAGAACTGCGTGATCTGTTCCTTCTATTCTCCGGAGGCACAGAAAACCATCGCGCTATAGGCATGACTATTCCGAGCAATATTCCATGGACACCCCGAGTCATTAGTTAATAATCGTCTCATTGCGTTGATTGTCTATTCATATGTGGAACGTAACCTGAAAGAAACCAGATGAGTGATGAGAGCTGCCGGACGAAACTTGGGGAAAATCCCCAGGTGCACCAGCCGGGTGGCACCAGCAGCAGCAAGCAATTCCATGCACAACCAAGGGCCCAATATTTTGCATATTACGGTACGGTACTTTGTTGTATCAATGCCGGTAGCATGGCAGTATTGACACTTCAATTCAATTAATGGCAAATTAAGAAGACACTTATTACGAGCTCCAAGTAATTAAATGGCTACAAAATAACTGCATATGCTTTTTCCCCAGTTTTCGAATAGTTTTGCTGGCTAATGTTCTTAAAGATCCCCACGCTGTCGGTATTCAAATTTATATGTTGAACAGACACTTTACTTTTTGTGCACTACTTTAAGTAGCGAACTTTGGCAGGTCTGAATTCGTTTCGAAAGAAAGTAAAAGTGCGAGAGTACAAACTTGTAGTATTTGGTATCGGCGTTCGTAAATTTGCAGCACTCACTATGCAAATTTGGCGCCTTCGTTGCTGCAGAGCTTCTGAGGTGATTGTGTTCTGACCTAGCATAGGCACTTTATGCTGTCGCTTTTTTATCGCATGCGGACTTGGATGTAGCTAGTATGCTGCACTTAGCCACCCTAGCCTTTCAAACCTGCCATTAATTCTTCAGTTATTCAATGGCAAGCGCACTGACGCTGGCCGCAGAAATTTTTAATCACCATGGTGCATACATAGCGATGATTAGCAATCACAGTCGCAAGCATAGGCGCTCTTTAGTAATATTTCGCGAGCTTGAAGATCGCCCCCGAAATTTCCCGTTCGCAATGGTCCAAGGAACGCCCAGCGACGGCAAGATTTGGTCGCGCTTACCGCAATTTGAACACGTGTTACGAAGTTGGTGAAATGGCCAAGTGATCAACGGCACATTCATTTTCACCTGCTGCCCGTACAGCGACATGCCGAGAATCGCGCAGAGAATCTTGCGGCGGCGCTGCAGCAAGGACAGGCCACTTGGGCAGCTATGAAGCAGGTGCGCCGCATGCTGACGAGCGGCCGCAGTGTCTCATTACTTGTCGAATGGGCATCGGCAACTCAAAAACTAATCAGTTAGGCATCGTAGTTGATCGACGAACTGTGTGATAGCTGTGAAGGGAACGTAAGCATAACCTGGTTCACGGAGGCTAATGAGACTTGTGTTGAAGCGTCGCTGCTCTGTGCCTGTTCACGGGACACCCAGCGGCACCGTGTATGTGCCTTGTTTCTATTTCTCCTATAAATAGTTCTGATCCATATTAATTTGTATGCTATTGGCGTTAATATTCGATTGGATTTTTCAATTTTCTTTCCACAAATATGCCAGCCGCCGTCTCAAAACCCCAGGCATTGGCCCGTCCCACGGACAGCGGAAGTAGCGCTGAACTAAGTTGCCTTTCCTTTTGCTCCGAACTAAAGCTATGGGGCAATGTGCTGCTCCTTGAGTGTTCAAAGCACAGGCCTGCCAGAGTTTTGCGCGCAGCGGCGTGCTGTGCGTAGCAAAACCAATCGAGCCGCCCATTACCCATCGGACACGATCCGCGTGATCAATCCTCTGAAGTCTGAAAGTTCCAACGATGCACCCAACACCGAGCGTTTCTTGCGGCACAAAAGCATATACGCTGTTGTCCAGATTCCAGCGTGCTTTACACGACCTGCGATCTTATGGTGCATTTGCCAATTGTCGAAAATTGGAAAGTTGGTCAGTTGTGGTGGTGCTTATTGCCTTGTGGCGTCAAATTCTTTGAAGCGTGTGATATTTTTGTGCAGCAAATCGGGACGCAGGGCAGCCACCTTGAGGCGAGAGTGCACACATTAGAAGAGGCACTGGCATCGAGGGACAGGGCAATTCTGCAGCTCCGGGACGCAGTAGAGCAGGCGGAGATCAGGGAACGACAGGTGTGTGACACTTACGAAATCGAATCTCTGCATTTTTGGTGTACTCACCTATTTTTTTAACTATATGTTTATTTAATCACTTAATTAGTTAAATAGTTAAATAGTTGAGGTTGCTTCTTTGCTGTTTCTTTCAAGATCTGTATTTAGGTACTAAATGACTGCTGCAGATACATTTTCACGACTATCGCGTAGAAGATGTGCCATGTGTGCGACGAGAGTAATGTATTTTGCAGCGCTGTGTACGTGTTGCACATCGCGCCATGGGCAGTGGAAGTTTGAAATGGCATGAACCAGCCGCCCGGGTCATTTACGCGACTGCCAGAACAATGCACCCCCCCGGATCTTTACACCGTCTCAGTCGTGTCAAGAATGGGGGAAGCAAGGAGCGCATGGAGCGCTGCCATCGAGGCACGAACATGCACCGCAATATCCCGAATTAACGTTCATCCCGTGTCCCCTGCGCCCATTGCAAGTGTGGTCCCTTAAACGGACGACTAACGTTGCTCGGCCATACAAGCATCCAAGCCTGAAAACCCTTGTAACCTTCAGAATCCATGGTTCTTGGAACACAGTTCTCCCGGAATTGCAGGCCTTTCACCTAATCATCACCGGAAGAGTGAACGTGGCGTTGCTGCTGCAGGGCGACAGGTCCCTGCGCGAGGAGCTGAGGAGAAAGACGTCCAGCCTCCTGGACGCCCAGAGGCGGCTGCAGGAGTTGGAGGGCCTCATCCGGCGCATGGCCGCCCGCTCTGGCGTTCCCAACCTCCAGCTGCACAACAAGGCGGGATCGGCCTGGACGGCCGTTTAGCCCGAATCTGATTGAAGGAATTGGACACCGGCTTGGTCGCATTTCACCGTTTGATCGATTTGATTGCAGCGTTAGTGGCTTCGTCATCGCGCTGCCCGCGGGGCATCAAGGAGAATGTACTCGTCTCCAAAATGTCTCCAAAATGATTGGTTATTCCTCCTACCAGCACAACATTCACCCAGGTAATGTCTTCCAAACGTCGGATGAAAGCAAATTGGGGCCGCTCGACGTCCGTGGTGCCGCCCTGCGTCCCTGGGCGACCGTCGCTACTTCGCTTGCTGCCGTTGTGGCGGTGGATGAGGTTACGCACAGGCCAGCGCGACTGGGGCAGGATCGGGGCCAGGTGGTGCTGTGGGGCTCTCGGAAGGGTGTGTCATTTCCACGTGTTCTACACCTTGCGGGCAATCTCCAGACTTCAGGCGTGTGCCCTAAGGCCTGTGTGTTTCACGAGTGCCAGTCGGCTCTGTCTCGTTGCGGAAGGGGCCTCAGCGATCAAGCCTTCATCGCGCAATCCGGATTTTTGAATGAGGAACTGCCGCTCTGCCCAGCTGACGCCGTCCGTTGAGCACCCACACCCAATGTGCTCCCCCCTCTCTGCACGGTGCAACCTCAGCTGGCCTCGCAGGTCCCCAAGGCCGCGGCATTTGGAGCTCTGCTTGTGCTGTCCAGCCAGAGGGCACTGCATGAACATCCACACTGTGCCTTGTCCGCACAGCCGTGCGGCGCTGACCATGCGCAACCAGCCCCTTCCAGGAGTTCACAGGAACTGGGGCACTCCTAATGCTCTTCACGCCATCGATTGACCGACTGATTTGTGCAAGCACAGTTACTTCTGCTGCCCCGCATAACATGGCGCGCCCTGCACCGACACACACCCCCCGGGCTGTGGGTCCTACAACGGGCACCGCACCTTCGCACCCGCAGAGTACTCGTCATCGGCGTGCCGTTCCTTGCACTTCGCTTGCGGGATTCTCGTGGGGACCCACCAGCCCATTTCTCGTGTGCTGCAGCAGCTGAGCATTGGTTCAATACTGATTCAGTAAGGGTACCCGAACAGCTCCAGCCTGCCATCCACCCCTGTGCATTCTCGCCTCCCTCATTAGACCAGCATCGACTCACCATCGGTCCAGCATCGACCCAGGATCGGTCCGGCATCTGCTCAGTATCGATTCAGTATCGGGTATCCGAACAGCTCCAGCCTGGCGTCCCCCCCACCAGTTGCGCGGTCCTCCCGGCACCCCCTGCTCCTCTCCACCGCCAGCAACGCCCTGTCCCTCTCCCATCGTGCGCCCCACCGCCCCAGTATGTACTTTATGTCCGCCAGCGACGGCGCAGACAGGCGGTCCCTAAGTGCCGGCGCCGTGGCGTCCAAGTCCAGTGGCAGGTCCGGCTCCTGCGCTGGCGGCATGGACGCCCACTGGATGTCACGCTGCGGATACGGCAGAAGACGGTCTTGCAGGGGGGCGCCGTCTATGGATGACATCAGCATACGATTCGCGGGGAGTGGACCGTCTGCGGATGAAGTCAGCATGCCCGGCTCCACGCTGGCACAGCGGGGGCTCGCGGCAGGATTAAATCCCTCCCAAAAATTCCCGCCATGCCCTGCCAAAGTTTGTTTGGGCCCCCAGGGCCCTGTGAGGTGGCCTGGCTCCACGCTCCTTGATCGGGGGAAGCGACTGGGACGGTGCTGGGCGTGGATTTGAGCGGGGCCGAATGGGGCCATGGGCAGGGAGGTCCACCTGCCGATCGAGCCTGGAGAGGGTGGCGGGAAGGCAACGTCGAAGTGGCGAGCGCCGCGCCCACGGATCCCAGGGCCTTTGCTCGAGGGCCTCAGGGAATTGACTGGCGGGAATTGGGGCCCGTCCACCGCGCCCCCCAAGTCGCGGACGGGTGCCTCGCAGCGGGCGGCGGTGGCTTGTGGTGCGGCCATCGACTGGGTGAGGCGGGTCATGGGCCGAATTGTCCTGCAGCCGCTCACGTGCAGGGCGCCGTTCACGGAGTGGCTGCGGGCCGGGGGCGGGGGCGCGGGCGAGGCCAGGCGCCGCTGCGTGGCGCCAGCCCGCCAGGCGAGGCCCCGGGGGGGCCGGGGCCAGTCGTTTGGGACGATGGCCACGCGGGCGTTGAGGCGCCGGGGCGACGTGCCGGGAGAAACCTCGCAGGGCTGGGGAGACAGGACTGCCGTGTGCCTGGCGCCCACGTACATAGGGACCTGCGAAGGGGACAAATTCTCTCAATCCGAGCCGCCTGTGTTTGTCATTTTTTGTCCATTTCGAACACGACGCCGCGAATGCGTTTGGGTGTTTCCTCCAAGCGCGACATCAGTAGAGCAACATTGGATATATTTTGGATCTCCCCGTTACGGAGGGGGAGACATAATCGGTGCGCCACCTTGCAGGGCGTTTTTGGGTCTTTCGTTTTATTATACAAGTTAAGGAAAGGGAAAGGGAAATATGTTTACATACGACTGGGGCAGTTGCTGCTTGCATGGTGCTGCAAGAGTTCCAATTTTCGACCATCAATTGTTTTCCAACGCCCAGAAAAATGGTGTCGATGCCTGAAACGGGATCGCGAGCCCCTTCAACAAGGCGTTTCGCGCCATTTGTCTCTACCCTGTTAAGCTGTATTGTTCCTAGGAGAGGCACTACCACTAGTAGTCTGTTACCGCGCGGTAACAGAAGAAAGTGTGTTATTCGCGCATTTCGCAGGAGAATTCAAAGCGATGCATGTCTCCATCAGTGTGACTTGAAGCGAAGGAGACAAGGTTGAAATCGCAAATTATCTAAAGTGTCTCAGTTCCTGCCATAGGGTTTTGAGCAAGTTTTGCGGAGCGATCACACAAGAAGTACCCCTTCGAACAACTCCACGCACAGATGTCAGTGACCACGTGTAATCGGTTCATCGGCGCCCACCCTGGGAGACTCCTGCTTGAGCACCATGTAGCTCTCGTGTTGGAATGCTCGCAGCGCCCTCCCTTTGACGGCCATGGTGCTTTTTTTGAGCCTGGGGGCCATCTCACGGGGAACAGGAATGCATTTGCTCTGCGGCTCGCCATCCTCTTCAACTTTGATGAACTACGAGGACACTGGACAAGTTCAGTGACGGAGCTCGCCAACAGTCCCGGTTATCACCCACTTAATTTACGGGCCATTCCAAGGAATTTCCAAGGAATGTACATTGAACTCAGCGGGTTGATGTTGATACGTTTATAGAACCACCGGCCGCCCCAAGGTGCGAACGTCAATATTTGAACACACATTGAAATGCCCCCATGCGGAGCTTGCTGTCTTGCACAATTCAGCAGTAGGGGTATTCTTCGGAATGTCCGAATCGGATGTCTCGCGAGTTTTCGAACAGAACACGCCACCGAATGGCGCTTATGCTCTAATTCAAGCCCTGCGGAATATCAAATGTTAAAATGGTTGCAATCGCTCTCCGACAAGACCTTAGTGGGATGGCTGACGACAGCGTGTTCAACTCAGGAACGTGAATGTTGGCGAATGATTGCTTGTGATCAATGCCGCCCCGTGAATGACCCAAGTGACCAAAGCCTCACCGTGTGCTCCACGGCGCTGGCGGCGGCCACGACATTGTTGAATATTCAACAACGAAGTCATCAAACTAAGCAGTGACTGGGAATGGAATGAGGCCCGAGTGAAATTTAAAGAATCCTTAGCATCTGCTGGTTGCAATGTCGAAGGCTGTTGCATATAGAAACCAACAAACTACAGGATCTTAAAGTGCTCCCATGCCCGTTCAAACACCAATATTGAGCTGATCACCGCATTTGGCGGTTGGAGGAAATTGCCTTCAAAGGTGAATTTGTTTTGATTATTTCCAACGAAGACCAGGCACATAAAAGCCCATCATTTTCTGAACAGAAAGAAGAATGTGTTGGAAACACCAGTGAACTTTGGGCATTAATTAAATTACCCGGCACATAAAACCACATCATTTTCTCAACAGAAAGAAGAATGTGTTGGAAACACAAGTGAACTTTGGGCATTAATTTAAACTACAATAATGAACAAACATACCATTCTTTTACCTTATATTAGAATATTCCTTGTGTTTCAAGAGGACACACTGCTTATAACAGGACATCCGGGACATCCGGACAGGACATCCGGATGTAATCTCAACACCACCAAAACTGACAACAAAACACAAAAGCGCCCCGCTGTTCCTTACGCAAAACAGCAAAACACTTCCAAATCGCGCCAGCTGATTTTGTTTTGCGCTGTGTTTGACCCCACCACAGCCCACCCCCCACACATTTACCCACCCACACACCCACCTTCTCCACGGTCCTCAGCACGTCGGACAGGCCCGCGACGGCGAACCGCCCTGCCGGCTGGCCGTCCCCCATAGGCCTACCTCCGCGCCCCACCTCCCGCCGGCCGCCTCAAGCTCCCCAGACGCCACCCGCCCAGCAGCCTCCTCAAAACGCCTCCCTTGCTCCCCCCCTCTCCAGCACCGACCAAAAGACGCCGAAAAGGACAAGGCAGCCAGAAGCGTCGCTCTCAGGTGGTGCGCCAGACTGGGACCCGCCCAGAGGGGTTTGTCCGCTGACGGGGGTGTCCGCCCGCCTTCGTGGCTCCTTCGCGGCTCGTTTTCTGGGAGCGGCCCACCGCGCGGGACCACCATGTCGCTGGCTGGCCTCTTGGGCGGACGTCGGCCTCGGGCGCGCCCACGACGGCGTGCCTCGCGGGAGGGGCGCACCTTCAGTAGGTGGGGACGTCGGGGCTTAGGCAGTGGGAAGGCCGGCCGGCCGGCCGTCGTGTCGTTCTTGGTGGTCGGTCGTTTTTGGTTGGCGAAAGGGGTTTGGGGCCAACCGTCGGAACGCCCCCTAGAAGGCAGCGAGCGCGCTTCTGAAGCTTGTGAGCTTGTCCCCAAAGGGATCCGCTTCGAAGGCGGAGAGCGCCTCTATTGCAGCGTTCCGTTTTTCTCCGCCGTTTTTGATGTTTGACTTACTTCCGGGGGAAAAAAAAGCGGTGGGCGAGGCGGAGCGGGAGCCTGGATGTCCCGTCGGTGATGCCTTACGTCCAATGCGCAAGATTGTCCATGCTTAAATGCAATGTACAATGTACAATTCTGTATACTTTACTCCAGTGGACAAGATCGTGCATACGGTTTACAAATAGTGGGTCAGAGCTCCGGTGCTGGCGTGCCTGACCTGATGGGTTGGCATCTGCACTCTCCAGGTGTGGTGTTCCAAGTGAGTTAAGGGTTGAATCCCTGCGTGCAGCAGTCAGCCCGGCTATGCGAGACTTGAACCCGGTGTTAAGAAAATTTGCGCTGCACTGCGTTGGATGTGCGATTCCAACAAAAAACCACAACAATCTGTTGTTTATTGGCAGTGATTCCTGAATCTTGCCTTGGATATTGCCGTGCTGAGGCGTTGCTTCAAAGCAGAATTGTCGGTCAGCTTCTTCTGGGAGAAACTCCAATTCTCTCTTTAGTGCCAAGAGCGCAAATGCTATTCTACACCAGCCAAATGTTGAATAGCAAGTCGCTGCAATAAATGCGCAGTCGAGCAATTTAGGTTTGCGTTTGAGCAGCAACCATTCCTTGAAATCGCGTGCTTGAAACTGCCTGCTTTGAAACGGTTCCTTGGGATCTTTCATGAGCATTTCGATTGATCAATTTCTCAATCACTTTCTGATTACTTTACTTATCAATAGTACTGTGGGATCCATCGCCATCCTGTGGCTTTCATCGACTTAAGGGAAGTTCTCGAGCGCCTGAGTATGCAGCAGGGACAACAATCTGCGCAGTGCCCGGCAAATCCAAAATAGACTAAATGCACCTGGATCTTCAAATATTAGATTACATTGTCTCACCAACACACTTGAAAGAAATGCCCATTGCGGTAGAAAGATGCGGCTCTACATCTAGCACAACGGTGTATCAACAGCCTATTACATTGTGGGTGCCTGGCTTACTTTGCTTTCATTATTTGCCAAGTTAGCGCCGGCAATGGCGAAACTACTGTGCCAGTAATTCGAAGCAATTTTTGCGAATGCGCAGGCACATTCGCTGATGACTGCTTGCATGCATTTGAGTGCAAAACTGACGTCACGAGTGATTGAAGATCTTCAACCGATTCTAGAATCGGCTCACAACCTTTCTTTCTCCGAAGAAACGCCAGCCAATGCCATGCTCCGCGGAAAAATGACAGGATATTGTGAACGCACCATGGCGCACTGATTGCACAAAGCAGAACCATTCCAGCCCAGCGGGACGCACATTCGCTGAGTCTAATTGCGTGCCCACGGCGCAGATGTCGCTGCATGCTCGACGACGTAATGAAAGGACGAAGAACGATATGCGACTGCACGGTAGTCATGCAGTGAGAAAATCTGCTGCTCTCAGGTAAAGGTCACTCTTGGATGTTGGCGATGTCTTGGATCCCTTTCCAAAAGGCACTCCCAGTCGTCGCTGCTGCACACCAACTTAAATTGAAGGTTCAAAAGAATAAATGCACAAAGAGTAGCTGCAACACGTTGCATGTCCACGTAGCCTCTCAGTTCTCTCGATATTTCCATTCTCCTCTCAGCATCCTTTGAAAAAAACATCATCCTCACAGCTGCCCAATCATCGCCGCGTATCTGCCCTGGGAATGTCGATGCCAATTAAGCGACGCAGAATTCGAGCACCGAAGCCGGTGGGTTGCGGTTGGCGCCGACGCCCCATGGCTTGCATCGCCTCACATGCTGTAGACATCGCTTTGATGGCACGAAGTCACCAGTAAAGCAGCACTGTTTCACGCCGAAACGGCCAATCCCATGAAGTGTCTTTCCCACTTGCCTTGCACACCACAAGCGACGTCTCGTCTGCCTTCCCCAGAGTGTGACGAAGTGCAGTTTAGTCGTCGGCCGCGTGGCGAAAACTTGCACATGGGGACCAAAGCTAACGAAATCGGCGCCAACTTTGGCCAGGGCCGGACTTTCCACCGCAAGAACCCGAATTTTAGGCCCTAGGCACCAGTGGAGCCCTTTGGAAGGGGGGGAACCGGCTCATCGAGGTTCCTGAATGCGTGCCGCCGCTCTCGCTCCTCGGGCTTGATGGGCCTTATGGCAACGAAGCGGCCCTTGGTGTGCAGCAACGGCGACACGAGGCACTTGCTCACCATGTACGTGGCCCGCAGCTGACCCAGCCTGAGCAGGGATGCCAGCCTTTCCACTCCCTGCGCAAACCGCACATGGCGAAACCACCACTTTCATGCAAATGTACTCCGGGGCCCCGGGTCAGCAGATGAACTGTTGAGACAGTGCCCCTGGCAGCAAAGCAGTTTAGGGAAGTGCTTCACCCAACCGTTGCAGAAGACGGCAACAAAAATTGAGGCCCAAAGTTTGAGCAATCTTTGTTGCCTGAACGGCTAGTATCACACGACTGGTTCCGTTTGCGTATGGTCCATCAACCCACGAATATTACAAAGTTCAAGTTGTCGAAGCGGCGACTGATTCTGTGCATAGTCTGCAATTTTCCGCCTTCGCGTGTGACACAAATGGTGGCACATTTACCCAGAATCCACATACGGTGGATTCGATTTTCTGAATCTATTCGCATCGGGAGCTGCGAGACTGCCGCTCGACCACGGCTGGTGCGGCGCCCGTGCCAAGCCAGCAGCGGCCACGCCTTTGAACAGAGCCAGCGCCACTTGCGCACCATGTCCAGCCATTCAAGGCAATTTGAGCAAGGACACAAACTGCCTGGATTGAGCGAAATTATCCTGCCAAAACATGCGTTGCTTGTTAACGAAGCTTGGGATGCCTGTCCAAAGCTTTGGACGTCCCCTGGCGTGCACGGCACACACTTGCCTGCTGCCTGGGAGGGTACTCCTTGCTCCCGACAAGCTGCAGCAGCGACGTCAGCAGCCTGACGTCCACACGGGGCTCGCACCGCGCGAAGGGCGCCACCCTCAGCAGCGGGAAGTCCGCGAAGTGCCCACTGGGGTCAGCCTCCTGCCTGAGCGCCGGCGACACAGAACTGGCTCCCTGTCATGGCGCCGCAAATGCCAACAACGCGCCAGATCAGCGCGACGCTCAGGATGATCCGAGTGATCCTATTCGGATCAGGCCATGCCGTCGGGCCCCGTGCATCTGTCTGCAGTTCCCTGGGGCCTCACCGCTGCCGTTACCTTTGTTCCGGCGTTGCCCACACTTCTCGCAGCAGCCCATGCACTCTCTCCTCCTGTTGCTGCCGGACGAGGTCGCAGGCCGCCCCCACGGTGACAAGGTCCGCAATGATGGAGCTCCCAGCACCGCCTTCAGCCGCAGCCCTACTCTCAAGAAATGTTACGTGTCAACATAGCAACATACCAACGTGATAGTAGCTCATGTTACAAATACAGTATGGCACAGCCCTGCAGAAAGGCGACGGCAATATACACGCGATCATATTTATTCTGTCAAGTGGTCCAGCTCATTGCAGTCCCAAACTTGGGCAGCGTCGCCAGAATTCACGGTCGCGGTGTACAGTGATGCAGCCCCATTCGATATCATGAACAAGAACTGCAGCCAGAAAAATTCACGCATCTGTGTGGCTGAAGCACTATCCGCCAATCCACAGCAACCTGGATTTCATGTCGTGAGAGACAACTATCACAACATCGACCCGTGCTCGAACCATGCCAAACTGCTCAGCCGTGCGCCACACAGTAGTGTCGCACTTGCCACGCGTTGAAAAGATACCAACAGCATTATCATGACGGTGGTACAGTGGCAGCTCTACAGGACTGTACACTGGGGCACTGTGGTGCGAGTCAAGCCCGCATTCCCCACTTAACACTAAAGCACTTCCTGTCCTCCCTACAAAGGGCACCCCGCTGTACCAGGCAGGTGGAGCACATGCGAGCTGTGTCAACTACACCGGTACGACACAATTTGGTATTTCAACTCAAGCACCATTTACACTGATTGATTTAATGAACGAATTTACTGTTTGGGTTCAAACAGTGCCACATTGTGGGCAGCTGTGCATTGGCTTTGAGTCCCCTTGTCTCAACTGGACCAGATCGTGCATTCTTAGTTTTTAATCTTACTTTAAACTCAAATGTCAACTCGCATCTTGTGGTAAGCACCGATAGAGATCACAACATCTGAGCATGTCCAATATCTAAACCATTCATGGATTCTCAATTGTAGTTTTGTGCATGCAGCAATGCTGATGTGGCCAAGGCCACTGCGCAGCATTATCCCAGCACAGCCAGCCCACCTGGCACCGGGGACGTAAGCTGCAGGGTCGTAGCGATGCAGTACGCTCCTCACCCGGGCGCGAGCGAACTTGTTGCTCCTGTTCAGTGGGTCTTCCACCCACAAGTGCCCCTGCTCCTCGCAGACCCGAACGAGCTCAGACTTTGTGACGCCTGTGGCACCGGTGCGATGATGAATGCCAGCATCTCAAAAGGGAAGGGCGGAGAGGACGGGAAGGAGGGCAGGGGGGGGGGGGGGCCATTCATGCTTGCGGCGGTGAAACAAAGCACAGCCTTTCAGCTGCAAGGACACCATTGGATCAACACAATTGGAGCGATGGCGAACTCCTGATGCTGCCGCTCTCCGCCGGCTGGTGCCAAGTGTGTCAAGACCCTGTGCTGCTGGGTGCTTCCTTCCAATCAGCTGGATCTCAAACCACCAGATTGGAATTGGCGAATTCGATATGTGTGTCAATGCTGTTGATGCGTTGAAAACCACGAATTAACAAAACATGGCACAGAGACAGTACCACTGTGCCACGCAAACGGTAGCAAGCCTGGTGGTGACAAAACTTATAATCAGTAGGCTAGCTACGGATCAGCAGGTTGGCCACAAGCGAAGTGCTGCATGCTGCTTCACCCGAACGAGTGTTGAGTGCATGGGCAGTTGAGCCTACCGAGGAGTGGCCTTAACATCAATAGCGGTGGCGAGCTCGCGGATGGCAAGGACATGCCATACAGTGGCCCCGGTGCTCCTGTCAAACATGGCCCTTTCAGTTCCAGAAGCATCCATCGCCAGTCAAAACAAAAGAAGGAAAAATAAGAACGCCCACCAAGTTCCCTTTTTCACAACAATGCACATGGAGTGTCGGCAAGGAATGGCCAACCACTGCTGGGAAACACAACTGCGAATCAAGAGATGTACACCACTGGAATAATGGCACTTTTGATGCCAACAGGCCGTTCACGCAGCGGTGGACGATGCTACAACAATGCTCACGCTTCCATGCCAATGATTGGATGCTGGTGCATGCTAGATGCTGGATGATGCTGGATGCTGCAAGCTTCATGCAACATCCATGCTGGATGTTGTTGCATGGGTGTTACTGCAGCCTCGTGCCATGTCCGCATCATTGACAATGCGCTATCATTGTTTTCTAGTCTAGAAAATCTCCACAAGCACGAAGCATTGCGGTGCGTAGTGGCTACAAAACCAAGTCCGTTTGATTCCCCATCTCTTTTTCCTGGACGACTCCTATTTTATGGCTACGGTTACCGCGGATTGGGTAACGAACGAGCGAAATTTGTTCCCTTATCACCTAATGACTGCGAATACGTCATATGTTCATGGAATACGTTTCCTGGAAAGCAAAGAAAGTATGAGGTGGTATCATGTGCCTACGACAGCGAGATTTGTTGACTTTGCGGACTCATAGAGTGGTATCTTCGGTGGGCAAACAACCAGTGGCCCATCTTTCCTCGTTTCATGGACAGACGTGTCAATTTGTGTGCTGAACGCTGAATGAATGGTAACCTGATGCTCATTTCGATGTCAAGAATCTGGCAGACGTTGGAAGGGAAGCAGGTCGGTCCGAGCACGTCCCCCACAACAAATCCGAACTAACCTAAACTAAAATGCTCACAGCCAACAAATCCGCAGGTCGGCTCCCAGTTGTGCAGTCGCCTTTTACTGCAGCTGCGAGGACGGAGTGCAGACTTGCGGCTTCTGGCGCCGCAACGCACCGCGCCGCGATGGGCGACCAGGCGCCCGGCCTGCCGTCGATCGGCGAGCTGGCCCGCCGCATGCGCGAGCTGACGCGCAGCACGCAGGAGGTGCGCAACAGCCTGCGCGGCCCCCCCGCGCCCAATCCCCCCGACGCCCATCCCGGCGATCATGGGGTCGTCGTGGGCCATGCGGTGCCGCGCGGCGATCACGGATCGTCGCTGGACGCCCGACTAGCGAGAATCGAGGCGGAGGTCCGCGGCGTGGCCGCGCAGCTGCGGGAGGCGCTGGGCGGGGACGGCGAGGATGCGCTCGAGGGCTTCGGCGCCAGGCTGGCGTCCCTCGAGGTCGCGGTGGGGCGGATGCAGGCCCAGCTGCTCGCCGCGATGAGGGGGAGGGAGCCCACGGAGGGGCAGATGGAATCCATGGCGGAGGCCGCGCGCAGGGGGGACCGGGGGACGATCGAGCTGGTGCTCGGGCAGGGGGTGGATCCCAACGCGGCGGTGGATGGCAGCGGTCGGGCCGCGCTGCATCTGGCGGCGGCGGGGGGGCATGCCGAGACCGTGCGGGTGCTGCTGGAGCGCGGCGCGGACAAGGACGCGAGAACGGCCGGCAGCGTCGGCTGGGCGGCGGACAGGAAGGTCCCCGGGGCGCTCATGTCCTGGTGGCCTGCCGCCGTGGTCTTCCGGGACCGGTTGTTCGTCTTCCACCAGGGGTTCGCCAATTCGGGCCGGCTGAGGTACAGCGTCTTCGACGGCGTGAGGTGGGCGGCGCCGCGCGACGTGCCCGGCGTGAAGGTGACGTGCGCGCCGGCGGTGGTCGTCTACGATGGGATGCTCCACTGCCTGTACCAGGCGGAGAGGACGGGCGGGGAGCTGCGGTGCAACGTGTTTGACGGCGTGGCGTGGCAGGGGGGAAGGTCCGTGCCCAACAGCAGGGTGGCCTGGGGCCCGTCGGCAGCGGTGTTCAACGGCCAACTGTTCGCGGTGTACCAGACGGCCAGGTCGCCGGGGTGCCTGGCGATCAACGTGCTGGACGGCGGCGGCTGGAGGGGCGAGTGCGTGGTGCCCGAGGTGTGGGTGTCGCACGCGCCATGCGCGGTGGCCTTCCAGTCCAGGCTGTTCGTCTTCCACCAGGACGGGCGCTGCACCGGCAAGCTGGCGTACAACGTCTTCGACGGGAGGACATGGACTTCTGAAGAGATTGTGCACAACACTCTGCTGTCGTGCGGCCCGGGGGCGGTTGCCCGCGCCGGAGGCTCGCTGCACGTGCTCCACCAGGGTAAGTCCGACTTCTGGAATCTGTGGCACAACGCATTTGACGGCGCATCGTGGTCGGGCGATCGGCTGGTGCCGGACACGAACGTGACCTACGGCCCGTGCGGGGTCGAGTTCGAGGGACAGATCTACGCTTTCCACCACGGCCTGGCCAACTGCTCCGAGCTGTGGTACAATGTGCTCAGCCCGCCGGAGATGGTGGGCGCCACGGCGCTGCACTGGGCCGCCAGGAATGGCCGGGAGGAGGTCGTGGAGGCGCTCAAAGGCGAGGGGGTGGATGTGGGGGCGGCGACGATGGGAGGGGACACGGCGCTGCACGTGGCCGCGCGGCACGGCAGGCCGGCGGTGGTGCGGATGCTGCTGGAGGCGGGGGCGGAGGCGGGGGCCAGGAACGCGGCGGGGAGGATGCCCAAGCAGGTGGCGGACGGGTCGGTGCTGCACCTGCTGTGAGGGAGGGAGGGGCGGTGGGGCGCGCCTTGCCCGCTCGCCGCTGCCGTCCGTTCCGGGATGCCTGCTTGGTGCGAATGGGCGAGTTGGGAGAGGAAAAGGGACCGCTCTTGACTCCTTGTTCGATCGTGTTGCGCATTTTCCCGTGCTTTTTGAAACTTTTGCGTGTCCACTTTGGATGGTGGGGAGTTGGGAGGGGCTTGTGGGTTGTGGGTGGTTTGCGTTGGGACGCTGTGCGTTCGGCTTCAAGGCAGGGGTTGCTTTGTACTTGTACATCTTATGCCATGATCATCTGCATTGTCCATACTGCTGGTGCTGTCTGCGAGGAGGGGAGTGAGACCGATTGGGTTGTGCAGGTTCAGGTACCATCCAATTGGCAGTCTTGCCAGCAAAATATACATCATATATTAACATCAGCTTGTCAGGCCACAGCATTTAACTGTTGCATGCATGGAACGCAGTGCATCGCTTGACTGTGTGCATGGCTGATACACAATGAGCTCATCGATTGCACCATGAAAATCCAGAATCAGGCCCTCAGGGGCCCAGACTTCCACACTGTCAGTCGCACTCACCTGGCTCCAGTACAGATGCTTCCAGCATCCCTGCCAGGCCATCTATGCCACTGGCACGCATGAATCGAAGTAAGAACGTCTCAGCTTGGTCTCCTGAATGCCAGAACAAAACAATCCAAACACAGGGAAGTTTCTGTCACAAACAGCTGAGCAAGAGAACGTAAATCACAAGGCATTCCATGGACCCCACCAAAGGTATTTACAATGAGCACGAGATGTCAGAGTTGACTCAGGAGATGCATGTTGCTTTAAACACACAAAATCAATTGCCAGGGCGCAAACAGTACACTGGAAACCAGGCACATCATTTGGGCACCTGCTTCGTTGCTTGTTGGGCACCTGGGGTGTGGTGAGTCAAGAAGTCAACAAGCACGCATCTAACAAGCTGGGTTATAGGAAGCACTGCCGCTTGGCAGGCTTGATGTGCAGTTAGAGATCCAAGATCCATTGACACATCTGCAATTGCTGGCTGCAAATGCTGAGCTCATTTTAGGCCCAGAATGGATAGAAGGACAGACATGGATGGCCATGGGTCGATCATGTGTCGAAACGTGGCATGACACCAGTGCATGTCCATCCACATTTGATGAGTGACAACAGTGACAACAATAGGGAGCACAATTGTACTGATACGCGTTCTGACGAGGAATTCTTGGGCACTGAATTTTTGTGATTTGGGCATGCGGCATGGATCACTTTGTGGCCAGTCCTTGTGGCAGACCTATGTGGTCTTGGCGTAATTTCATCACACTGCAAAAGACCCACTGCATGATTTTTCTGGGGATGTGGGCAGCAAATCTGACACACCCCAGCTCAATGCAATTTGGACCAAGCAACAATCTAACGGCATCAGCAGACCACCAGCATGCTCTTAATCCTTTGATGACGTCATTCAAATGGGGCAAAGCGTTCCTGCACCTGCTCGTCGATGCTGTGCTTGATGCCAAAATCAGTTCAAGTTCCTGCAATGCTTACAGCTGCCCTTTGTCGCCTAACCGCCCAAGGTGAAGGCGGGCGGCCATGGAGCCCACAAAACGACACAACCCATCACATGCAATTGAATTGAATTGAATAGAATTGAATTGAATCGAATTGAATTGAATTGAATTTCCATTAGCAGCCTGTCAGCCAACATGGGTTATGTCGCCACCCAGTCCCCAAGAACACTTTTCCATTGTTTGTCCCCAAGTACACCAGTGCATGCGCAGTGCTGCTTGCCTCCACACGACCCGTCACATTGCACAGCACCTGCATGGTGGCCTGTCAGCAGAACCCCGATGCCATGCTTGCAGCAAGCGCGGTACAGCACCCTGTACCTCCGCCTCCTCGCGGCGACCATCGCCTGGCTCAAGGGGGGCGGCATTGGGCCCCAGGTAATCTGCCTCAGGACAGCCTGCAGTACGGGAGACATACGCCTGGGCGTCCCAATCGGCTCCAACTCTAAAGTGCCCGATTGCAAGTGGCAAAACAACTGCATCTCTGAAGCTTGGGCATTGTACTACAAGTATTGTAGTACAAGTTGAATGAATGTATACGTAGCAGAAACTTGATGAACTGGCACTGGCACGTGATTCTGACGAGTTCAGATCATCAGCTTCCTCAAGCTGTTTGGGACGAAGCGTTGAGGATGGTGCAGTGTCCTTCATTGCCTTGCAGGTGTCTGGACACGTTCTGTCAACGCACCAAAGAGGGAAAGGACGGCCCTTCATTTTCCGCCATCCTGGCCTCTGTTGGGCTTGGTGTCTTTTCTGGGCTCAATATAGGGTCTAGGCTTGGTCGGTTCCTTAGACAGATTGCGGGGTGCCAGGCCCTGTCGCACTGCCCAAGAACAGCCTCGCTATTACAATGGGCCTCATTGTGTGGGAATCCGTGGTTAGCAAGAACTCATCACGAGCACATGATGCAGGTAGGACCGATGTCAGGCTACAACGCAGCATGGAAGCTCGCGCGCTGTCCCTGACTGTGCTGAACTTTTCAGTTCCAGATTCTGTGCATTCGTCCTCGTAATACTACCCAGCATTTTGGAGCCCACATCGCTTTGCATTTCATTGCTGCGGGGTGGCAGCATACACAAATCTTCCTGCTTTTTCTTGTGGGTGGGGTGGGGTGGGGTTTTGGGGGGGACAGGAGGGTGCATTTTAACAACAAAGAATCCGATGCCAACAATTTGAAACGAATAAGATGCTCGTGTCAGGGTTTCAGATAATGTTTGCTGTATTTCAGGATCTCAAACTGTCAAAGAGATTGCAGCAGCATCCTCACCACCTGTGGTTCAATCAGACAACGCTGGTCCCACTCGTGGATAGCATTCGGAGATGTGGACAGACGTGTCGACAGTCTAGTGCTAGCACATGGAAAGACAATAAACCGCCGGAATTTGAGGCCCAACATGGGCACGCCTCTTTTACTCAGGTGACAGTACCAGTCCCACTGATGGACAGGGTTCGAGGTTGTGGGCACATGCGTTCACGCCTTCCTGAGTGCAATTTTCAACTCTGCATTTTTGAAATTCGTCAACATGGAACAGAACAATGACGTGTTCTAGTGGCCATGTCATCTGATAAGTGACAACAAGGGGCGCACCTCCAGGCCAAGATCTTCGGCCCAATCTGCAACTGCGGCCGCTTCCAATTCGCTTCCATCCCGCAAGCCATGATCAACGACTATTGCCAGGGGTTTCCTGCCGTCTCCACACAAACCAGTTACGAGTCAGTGTAGAAAAGCACAAAACAAAGAAAGAAGAAACAAAGGTATTCATGAACAATCCATGAGTCATGCCCCCAACAATGACCCAAAGTACATAGCGTTGGCATCAACTCTCAATCTTCAATACCCAGGGCAGCCAAGTAGTCAATGTTGATGCAGAAATTGGTCCTTTCCACTTCTCTATTTGGCCTTGAACAGCCAAACACCCGTAATTGGGAAGCACATCACTCCACATGATGCCAATGGCAGCAGAAATTTGGCTATGTCAAAATGCAACTCAAGGCGTGCACCATGTGCTTGAACGTGACCAAAACCACGCAATGCTGATGGCGCTTTCTGGGACATGCTAAGCCAGTATCACTGGGGTATCGCTGTGGGCTCTTCAGGGCACTGTGGATCAGGGATCACTTTGAATGGGTCAGGGGCAGGTTGACAACAGCATCAAATGTAGATATATGCACTACTTGAATTTGAATGTTTTGTACCACACATGCTGCACTGCAGCATTATCAGCGATTCTTTCTGTGGGAAGGAATGTGACGTACAACGGATTGTTCCCCTCCCTGAGCTACAACGTGTGAGTCCCGGACTGTCAAATGTGAAGTTGTATTTCTGGAGTGAGAATAAAAACAGTTCGCGCACATTGGCTTGTAAGTGTGATGTAGCATTGTGGAATTAAAAGAAGAGAAGGAGTGTGCGAGGCCTGGGTTACTAAATGTGACGCAATACTCCTGAAGAATATGGAAATAAGGATAAAAAGACAGAACTGAGGGCAAGTGAAAGAATAGAACAACGGCATGCAGGTGCAGGAACGAACTGTTCCAAGCTGGAGTCGGCGCACTAGAGCAGTCGATGGACAGGAATGCGAGCAGCAGCACTGTACCAGATGGCAATTGCCACTGTTCTTCATTGACGGGCCTGCCTTTCCACAGCATGTAGAGCTGCTGAAGGAAGCCTCCAACTGGCAGCAAAACAACACAACGGTGATCACTCCCTCACGCACTCCTAATCTGTCCAAAAGAGGAGTGCAGCGAACAATCACGATTCGCAAGTTGTGTCCTCTTTAACATTAGTTATATTAATTGAGTAATAATTGAAATAACTTTAATTCATGCACAGTTCCATGCGCCTAAACTAACTGACTGCATTTACCAGATCATAACAAATTGTTGCCCTCATACATCTATCGGGCAATCCAGTCTGGTGCAAGATACAGTGTGCAACATGATATATCATGGTTGTGTAGATGTAGCACTAAGCGGAGTCCAAGCATTGAAGAATACAAAAAGTAATGCTTGTACAGCGATTGTATATGGCAACTAACAGTTCAGGGCCAGCAATATGCGAAACGAGATTCCCATGGAAATGGACTCACTTGTTCCTGCAGGAAATTCGCATGGGCTCCCAATTCCATGCACTGGATCTGTGCAGATCAGCAGCCAACAGTCGTGTAACAAACATGATCGTCAACGATGGTCAACTTAGCCAGGGAAGGGGCAACCTCACTGGTACAATTCTGTTCTCCCTACTCGAAAGATGGCATCTCTATGTGCCAAAAACCATCCACATCCCAGGAACTTGTCCTGCCTCCTGTTTGAGCGCGGAACCACGAAGTTATGGGCAGCAAACTAGCATTTTGGATGCCTAAATGCCCGTAATGGACTTCAAACCGCAAGGAACAAACTACTTGGCGAACGCGTATGCGCTTCCAAAGAACCAAACCGGCAGCTCGCTCGCCTGCACGGGCGCTAGGGGCAAAGCGCCCATCTGCGATGGCGGCGGTAATCCAAGACTCGCCATTCATCCCTCTCGATGAACTGAATACGCTCAGCAACAAACTCTCGCGTCCGATCTTCCCCTCCTTGTGACGCCAACCCATCCAACATCCATCCCCACGCCCAGCGCGACGCCACACGCGCGTGATTGGGAGCAACGGGACCCCGTCGAGGTCGCCGCAGCGGTCCCCTCACCGCCTCTCGAGTGCCTCATGGCCGTCAGTAACGCCAGGGCTTTGCTGTCCGCCCCTCCAGACAGGGCCACGGCCACGCGGGTGGTGCCGCGCACGCCATGGTGGGCCAGCCTCTCGACGAACAGGCGGAACAGCGCCTCTGATGCGGGGTGCCCGGCCATCGGGCGCCCCCGACAGAAACGGCACCCGACAGGAGGAATCGGAATTCAATTAAAACGAGTTCATTTCCTTCCTTCATTTCCTTCACTCGCTTCCTTCCCTCAATTCCTTCATTCAAATCCTTCCTCCAATTCTGTCCTTCCACCATTTCCTTCAGTTAATTCAATTTCTCACTAAACGGGGAGTCGAAATGTTATTTAAGAGCGGTGGGAGGGGCGTTTGGATGGGTCCTGCGGTAGATTGCAATCGTACTGCATGCTGTCCATGTGTGGCCAGCACACTATCAAATAGACAACTGACTGGAGTGAGCACTGTCGCTATAGGAAATACCAAATTGTTCGGTACCGGCTGCGATGTCATTTTGACAGCAAGTGACGCCATCGCAATTACTACGATGGCATAACAGCAGTTGTGATGGTGCATCAATTAATTGATGCATTTCTTAACAATTCTTAATATTAGTGTCAAACGGAGTTGCGGCTGGCTTCGCAGCAATGTCGTTTTCTGCTCGTGTATGCCGTGTGACAGGTTGAAGAAATGCATCACTGCCACAAATGCATGACAAAAGATGTTGGGCTGAGATGCACGGGCAACACTCCATAACTCAGCAAAGAGAGCTGAAAGGTGGAATTCACCATGCACAGGACGAGAGGCCGTCCCTGTGAACTGAACGAGCAGCGCGATATGAACAAACAGTGTGGTTAGATTTGATCACCTTGGTGGTTCAAGGACAACCGCTTGTCATGCCGTGACAATACACATGAACGCTATTTTGCGGATAATTGGCCAACGTGTAGTACTTTGTAGTACCTGGTTGTGCCACATTTTCCTGATAATGCGTCATGTTGTTCTAAAAGGCAATCAAGAGAGTGATGGAGAGGGTAGAGACAGCAACGAAATAGCGCATCAATATTTGCTGATATTGTCATCGTTTTGATCACAGCCGTAGGTTCTTGGTGTTCACTGTGCACTGAGCCCCGAAACGAAATTACGGAGGGGATCAAAATTTCCTTTAATGTAAAATTTACGTGCTAATGTACATTCGGCTAAGATTGCCTCTCGGACAGTGACAAAACTTTTTCATACAACTGGGGCCTTTGTCTAGCCAAGAGCATGGTGTGGCTCTCAACAGTCGCCACGTGAAAGATGGTGCGAGTTGGCGTGTACGGTAGCGACAAAAGTCTGCCATTGAGACGTTGTTACGCTTTATGGTCTGTTAGACCAGGTGCTGGTCTCACACTGGAGGTCGTTGGTTCGAGTCCGCCAGAATGTGCCGTTCTTCTTTCCCATTTCAACGGCTGCCTGCGTCCAGTACCCCAATAGTGCTGCAGTGCTGAATCGCCACAAGCCTGATGTCCAAATTGCTGATGCTCGCAAGTAATGACAACCGTGCGAGCGCAGTTCAGGCTCAAGCACAGGGATGGGTCGCCTACGCGGTGGTGGAGAAGCTCCGACATCTGATCGCGATCAATGATCTGATCTGATCAATGAATCTTGTCGAGGCGAGGAAGTAGCTATCAGCTTCCTGTTTCGCCCGAGCCACGCAGTATAGGCAGACACCGAGTTTGGTGCACCAAATCGTAGATGATTTGTTGCTCTAAAGCCCAAGATATTTCCAAAGTCCAGCCACATTAAATAAGTTATTGTTGCGCATCAGAACTGTATCTGATTTCAGGAGATTGCCCAACACCAAAATGACCAAATCAATTCAATTAGTGGCAATTTTGCCATTCTTGTCGACAATCTCCTTCCGCAAATCGACATTGGACGTCCTTTTGCCAGCAGCGACGGACCAATTCTGTCCGACCAGATGATATTGCCCACTTCACACGATTTCCAACTGCTTTGACTTGTGTTGAAATGCGATCGTGTCGCTTATTGGAGGGTCTAAATGCGTCAGAATGGAACCATGTCGTGTCCCCTTGACCACGTTTTTGCTGCCGTGTTTTCCAGTGAAAGCAACTCGGCAATCGACAATCGCTTCCAGGCATTGGGAGCTAACAGATTCATAGATTTTATTGGTGTTTAACATTAGATTTCAATGAACTGAACGTAGACACTGCTCGGGCAAAACAGGAAGCTGACATCTACCCCATTGCCTTGTTCTGTAAAATATCTATTATATATTACCATATATGATTATGATGGTTATGATGATTTCCTTGCTTGCATAGCGTTCGCTAAATCCGACTCTGCTCCCAGCAGCACGATATGATGTCAACAGGCTGTGCACCTTTCGGCGATGTAGGTCAGAAGCAAAATAAAGAAGAGGTGTCCGCGCAGAGAGAGGTTCATGTACAGAGGTGGCTGCTGACTGGGAGCAATGGAGTCGCTAGAATGTAGTGTCTATTGGCGATGATGATGAAAGCGACTCGGCACTGTCGGCCTTTGGGCGGCTCAATTGCGCAATGAGCCTTTGGGCTGCGGCGACCCCGTGGGTACGGGAGGCATTCACGACGGCCACGCGCGGGGAAGACACTTCTGTCACTCACGATCCGAACCCATCATTACAAACGAAGCGAGTGGTATTTATAGTGTGATGGTGCGACAGTTCATGAGTTGTTGTCTCCAGAATAACCACTCTGGCCACTTTCGCGAGCTGGCCAGGTTCGTGTCCATTTCTCACGCCAAGTTTCTATTCCCGCCGCCCAGACCAACTATGATCCATTGCCAACTAGCCCAGCAGCTACCCGCGTGCACTACCCACTCCCACTCTCCCTCACTCCCACACTTCCTCAGCTCCTATTCCCGCCGCCATCCCCAACTATGATCCAATCCCAAAGCCGTCCCCGTTCGTTCACTATAGCCAATTCCCCTTAACTGGCTCCCCTATCATACGTACAACCCCACTCCCCACAGCACTATCGGCGCAAGTCGCGACGTCCCCGGCGCGAGAAAAATCGATCATCCGCTACTGCCCCCATTCTGATTGATCAGATCATAAACAGATGCTGCCATTTGTTCCGCACTCAACGGAAAAACGCTCCCAAGCTCTGATGCGCCTTAACCTTTGAGCCTTCACCTTCTTGGCCGCCTTGTTGGTGGGCGACCGCTGCCCACTCCGTCATCCTTGGGAGCAGCTCCAGATCCAGCTTGACGCTTGATGCCACGCTTTCCAGCCACCGGCGCTCCGGTCCTCGGATCCGCAGTGCACAATTTGACGTGGTGCCCTGCAAAAACCTTCGTACGTCCTTTTCCCGGTACTTTCACTCCGACCGCTCCTTTTGTGCCTACCCACTTGACGGTGGCAGGTCCTGCCCATCGTGGCGCCAGCTTGTGGGCTCTCTTCTCCACCCAATAAAGCACGGGATCTCCCGGTTGCAGGCTGGTCGTGTTCCTCCACTCCCAAGCACGTGCGACCTCCTGCCGCTGCAACACGTGTTGTTGTCGCAGCTGCTCCAACTTCGCCAATCTCGCAGCATTGTCCCTATCAGTGCTCTCGCCCTCCTCTGGCGGTGATGGCGCTATGTCACACTCAGCTAGCACATTGATTTCCATTGGCCCCCTGGGCAGAACTCCGTACAACAATTCAGCTGGCGATGCATTGCGTCTCCGCGTGCGGCGCGTGTTGATGGCGAAAAGTGCTCCCACCAACAGATGATCCCAGCGATCCCCTTCGCACATTTTCCTTAAACGCACCAAGACCTCCTGATTACCCCGTTCGATCCTCCCATGTGATGGAGGGTAATAAGCCGCCGACCAGCTTCGTCGGATCCCCCATTTTTCGCACAAAGTCTGAAATGCACCATAAAAGTGTGCCCCATTGTCCGTATGTACTTTGTGCGGGATTCCAAACTTTAAGATGATCTCATTTACCACGAATTCCACCGTGGCAGCTGCGGTCGCGTTGGGATATGCTCGGGCTGTCATATAGCCCGTCATTCCGTCAATCGCTGCTATGATGCAACGGTTTCCAGCTGGCGTCACCGGCATGCCCACTATCCAATCGATCTGGACCCACTCAAACGGTTGCCGCGCAGCCACCGGCACACGATTTCGTGAGGCCTTTCGAGGCCCATGTTGCGCACAGCGCATGCACTTATCAACCCAGGCGGTGACATCACCTTTCAAAGTGGGCCACCAGAATGCCCCTTCTAGGCGCTTCATCGTCACCTCTTTCCCATAGTGGCTCCCAAGTGCAGAATCGTGGGCTTGTCGTAGGGCCTTTGGTACTTCAGCCTCCAGAAGGCAGATCGTATAGGTGCCACCTGCCATGCGCTTGAGTAGGCGTCCGCCTTCCACCTTAAACCCTTCAGTTGAAAACACTTCCCTCATGATGTCCTGATACCACTCAGAACTCACAAATCGCTGAATCCCGTCAGTGGGAATCGCTGCCATCTCATCCTCCGGATCCATGCCTACTTTACCATCACACATCTCCACGCATAGCTCAGGGCATCTAGACAGGTCACGAGACGATTCACAGGCCATCTCATCATCCACTGCTCTGGCCCAGAACTGAAATTCATCATCATCTAATTCCTGAGCATTTGGTGCGATTTCAGCCGCATTTTCTGCCATCATTCTGGACATTCCATCAGCGTTGGAATGTTTCTGCCCTTTGCGCGACTGGAACTCAAGGTCATATTCTGCAAGTATGCATTTCCAACGCGCACATCTCCCAGTCAGATCGCGTTTTCGCAGCAGCCCCACAATTGGGATGTGATCGGTTCTCACAACTGTGGTCCGGCCTAATATGTATGGCCGAAACTTCACTACTGCCACCACCACAGCCAACGCTTCGCGTTCTGTCACTGAATATGCCCGTTCTGCATTCGTCAAAAGGCGTGAGTGATAATACACAGGGTGCTCACTGCCATTCACAACCTGGGAAAGTACAGCTCCCACCGCGTCGTTGCTCGCATCGGCGTCCACAATAAAAGGGCAGCTGTAGTCCGGTTTTGCCAACACCGGTGCATGGGTGAGGGCTGACTTCAGCTCCACAAAAGCCCGCTGGTGTGCATCATCCCATGTGGCCAACTCCGCGCCCCGTCGCTCTGGGGTCACCTTGAGCAACTCGGTTAGTGGCTTGGAAATCTGGCCAAAATTTTTGATAAATCTGCGGTAATAACCAGTCATCCCAAGGAAGCTTCGCAGCTGCGTTTTTGTGATCGGGATCTCGAAGTTCTCCACTTTCTCCACTTTGTCCTTTAGCACGGCCATACCCCTTGCAGAAAGGGTGTGCCCTACGAATTCTAGCTGCTCAAATCCTATGAACACCTTCTTGGGTTTGAGTTTCAGCTTGTATTTCCGGGAGCGGTTCAGAAATGCGCGCAAATCCCGAGTGATGCTGTCCTCCCCCGTGTGTCCAATGCCCCCATCGTCCACGAACGTCCGCGTTCTTTCCAGCCCCCCGTATGCCCTTGCTACAAGGCGACTATATCGCGGAGGGGCATTTCGAAGCCCGAACGGCAGCACTGTCCATGCATATATTCCAAACGGTGTGAGAAAAGCCGTCAGGGGGATGGATTCAGCATCGAGACCCACAGCATAATACCCACTAAACCCGTCCACAGTCGTGTAGAGGGGGTACCTGGACAGATCCTCCACAACTTCATCAATCCGGGGGAGGGGAAAGTGGTCGGGGACAGTCGCTTGGTTTAATGCGACGTACGTACAACAAAATCGCATGTCCCCTCCTTTTTTTGGAGGGAACGTCACCGAGGACAACCATTCACAATCTTGCTCCCACTTCACGATTAACCCTGCACCTTCCAAGGTTTCCAACTGGTTTTTCATGAATTCCAGTTCCTTCGGGGCAAATCTCCGCTGAGCACCGCAATACACAGGCGCAGCCCCCTCTTTCAGCTGAATGTGAAATGTCATGGCAGGCGTCCGTTCCAAGTCCAGGTATGAGACAGCAAAACAGTCTTTGTACTGCACCAGCAAGTCGCGCACTTCCCTCACCACCGCTGGCGATAACGTGGGGCCAAAATGGATCTCCGCCAGCCACTCATTTTCCAGGTCGTCCATGATGCTGGGGAGGCCTGCCAATCGGGCGGGGGCAGTGCAGTCCTCCTCGAAAAAGGTGTCGCTGTCACTCTCCAAGCCAAACTGCGCCAGGAGCCCTTGAAGGACGCCATCAGCATCACCCTCATCGCTGCTAGACGTGTCTGTCGTATCACTCGTCATTTCCCTCAATTCGCACACAGGACCGGTACAGGGCAGGACCTCCAATTGCCGGCCCCGCTGGCGCACGATCACCCTCCCTGAGCCCAGAGTATACGTACGGGCCTTGAAGTCAGCAGTACTGGCAGTGTTACTTAGCCAATCTTGCCCAAGGAGCACGTCGTATGCTCCCTTCGCGTCGACGCGCCTCCCTGTCAGTTCCGCGTACACCCCTTCCACCGACACCTTAACGGGTCCCCTCAACGCATGTACCGGCTCGCGCTGTCCGTTAGCTAACTCGATATGCGGCAAGCGTACCGCTGACGCCCTCAGGCCCATCTTGTCGGCACACGTCTTGTCAATGAGCGAGTGGGAGGACCCCGGATCCAGAATCACGCGTTTGACACCCCGCCCATTCAAAGTACATCGGGCGTGCACCCCATCCGATCCCTGCGCTGCGCGCCCCGCCTCTGTGATCTCGCCATCCCCCACTTCCATCGGTTCACCCTTCTCATCGACCTCCTGTTCCGCCTCCTGTACTTTAGCCTTATGCCTTTTGGTGCCGAGTTGGTGCCGAATCGCTAGCACGAGCTGCGTGTACACCTCGCGTTTTGATATCCCACGCATCATACACACGGGTATCTTAATCATATCGCCCACCAAATCCCGCCAGTCGTCCTTCAGCACTGGCTTACGGCGCGGTTTCCGCGGAGCGTCACCCTTTTTCCTTTTGCGCCCATCCGCCATCCGCGCGACCGGGTTACTGTCCCCATCACTCCAAGCGGGCGAGCAGCAGCGATCGACATTCCCCTCTGAATCATCCCCGCCGGCGTCCACAAATACGTCAGATTCCCCGTATGCCAGACGCCCATACCTGGCAGGTGCCTGGTCTGCATCCGCGCCTCCGCGCGCGCCCCTGGCGCCTCCCACCGGACCGCGCGGCGCGGCATTCCGCGGGTGAGGACAATCCCACTGCCCGTGGCCAAGCTCGCCGCAGTTCCAGCACTCACGCGCGCGCCACCCCGCCGGCGGCGGCCTCCTCGCGTCCGCTCCGCCACGTGCATCGCTGGGCCGCGCCGCGCCTCGCGCCATCCCGCGCCCCCCGGCCGGATGCACGTCCCCGACCCGCTCGTCAGCGTTAGCGCCACCCGCCATCCGGTCCCCCGAACCGCGCCGGTCGACGCCCCGCTTGGTTGCGCGCGCTTGCAGCGCCCAATCTCCAATCGCTTGCAAGAGATCCTACCTCACATCCCCCGTACCGCGCTTGTCATGAACAGTATCCAACGCCCCCACGTCGCGGCCAGCATTTTCCTTGCGCATTGCCATTCGCGAAGCATCTTCCAAGTTCTTATATCCCACGAACCGAACGGCCTTGCGCAGGTCGGCGCGCAAGCCCCCAACCCACGCCCGGTACCACATGCTTTCGGTCGCTTCGGCCGATCGAGACACCAATTCGCGGAACCGGCCAAGATACTCCTTGACCGATTCCTTCCCACCTTGCCGGAGATTCTTCAGAGAGGCACTGATTCGTTCCTCTAAGTCGTCCTCAGCAAACCGCTCGATGAACTTGCCCTTCACCTCCTCCCATTCTCGCTCTCCATCCTGCATCCATCGAGCTAACGACCGCACCCATCGCGCGGCCTCTCCTTCCACACAAACCGTAAGCAACGCAATCTGCTGCGCATCCTCGAAGATAGCAGACGCGACACATACTCCCTCAAAGTGAAGCATCCACCCCTCGGCATCTTCACCACCCGCCTCCCCAGAAAATGGGCGGGGCCGGATCTTCATGGCGCCCTCCTTCGGCGCTCCCCGGCGTGCTGCGTGCTCTCACTCCGCTTCCGCGCCCGTCCCGGCGATGGAACCAAAAACTGTCGGCCTTTGGGCGGCTCAATTGCGCAATGAGCCTTTGGGCTGCGGCGACCCCGTGGGTACGGGAGGCATTCACGACGGCCACGCGCGGGGAAGACACTTCTGTCACTCACGATCCGAACCCATCATTACAAACGAAGCGAGTGGTATTTATAGTGCGATGGTGCGACAGTTCATGAGTTGTTGTCTCCAGAATAACCACTCTGGCCACTTTCGCGAGCTGGCCGGGTTCGTGTCCATTTCTCACGCCAAGTTTCTATTCCCGCCGCCCAGACCAACTATGATCCATTGCCAACTAGCCCAGCAGCTACCCGCGTGCACTACCCACTCCCACTCTCCCTCACTCCCACACTTCCTCAGCTCCTATTCCCGCCGCCATCCCCAACTATGATCCAATCCCAAAGCCGTCCCCGTTCGTTCACTATAGCCAATTCCCCTTAACTGGCTCCCCTATCATACGTACAACCCCACTCCCCACAGCACCTCATTGCGGCGCGAGCGCCGGTGCCGCGTATCTGATCGCCACTAGTTTTGCGATCTTCCCCACCTGCTGGCGGAGCAAGCAAATGGACGCAGAGTCCAGCTTGGACTCCCTGGAGTTGGGCCCCGCCGTGGCCACGGGCGGCGGTGATCCTCTGGACCGGAGGCCCGACGCGCAGCTTCAGGAGCAAGACACGCCCACACTGCGAGAAGATTTGGCGGCTGCGGCGCGAGAGAACACTACAAAAGGGGGCCCCCGGGCCCATGGGGTCAATGGGTTTGAGTTCGGGCAGGGCTTCGTGAAGGGCAACGTGGTGCTGTCGGTAGAGACCAGCGGCGCTGGTCAACGCGAGGGCGAAGAGTCAATGTCATGTTGCGGGGGAAGAGGCGAGGGCAGCGGGGACAGATCGACCCGGAAAGGAGATGCTGCTTTTGCGAAGCGCGGCGGAGGAGTGGGTGCGGGGCAACGCTTCAGGGGAGGGGATTGTGGTGATTGTGAGGGCTTTGGCGGCTCCACCGGTGTTGGGGATGTTGGAGAGGCCAAAGTCGCACATGGCGGCCATGTTTCGAGGCTGCGCCAGTATTTTGAGAGCGCACTGGGCGGCGGGGGCGAGGAGGGTAGGGTGGGAGAGGCTGCAGCTTCGCCGCGCGTGCCCACGGTGGATTCGGTGGGAGAGGCTGCAAAGGCGGGCTGCCCTGAAGCTGATGACGCAGCCACGGGTCGGAGGGCTGCGCCAGTTTGTGGTCAGCCGGGACGCCCACGTGGCAGCCAGGACGCGAACGCGACTGAGAGACATGCGGGCCGTCTCGCACCACCTCAGGCTGTCTTCGAAAATTCGAGCGAGGAACGCGCTTCGAATGTGGAACGCGATCCCGCCTGGTCGGAAGAACTCAGCGGCCCGGGAGCGACTCGAGATGCGGATGCTGATTCGTCGCCATCTGCGGACAACCGCCCATCCAACAGATCGTCTGCGTCAGCGCCGCTGGCAGCGATGTGCAGGCAGGGAAGTGGGCTGCATGAAGGGGGGTCTCCAAGAGAAGGTGGCAAGTATGCCGTTGGGGAGGAGACTTGCGATGCCGCGGAGGTGTGGCGCGTGATCCTCGCCATCGAGCACCTCATCCGCAGATCCCTGAAGGTCCCCAGCGGGCAGCCGCTGGCGGACTGCGATCCCAAGAGCCTTTCCAGCGTTCCCGACGATCTGATGAGGGCGCTCGAGGTAATGCATGGCATGTACTTCGCGCGCACACATGCCCGTGGCATCCTGGAACTCAGTGGCAAGCGCGATTACTTCTTTGTTGCACGGAACGCCTCTAGATGTGTGTTTGTACACGCGCGGCAGAAGGTCATGTATTAAGGACTTGAATTAGTTTGTTTAATTAACACGGATTGTCACGATTGCAATATTGCAAAACTACATTCATGTGCGTATTGATATCCAGTTTGTAGTTCAAAATGTGCAAATTTTGTACAGGGAATTGATCATGAAATTTTGCCAAAAGGATGCACTCCACATTGCTGGAAACCGGCGCTTCGATTTTGCCTTCATGTGAGAACAGAATAGGGTAGTGCATCAAAGCCTTCAAAACTGGCGGTGACATCGGCATCCGCATTGCCACAGAACGCAATTCGAATCCTCCTGGAGATGAAGCGGTCCAGAGTGGCGTCATCCATTTGGAGCGTAGCCAGCGGCGGCGCTGGCCACCTCGAGGAAGATGGCAAAGGTTCTTTTCGCTGCGCAAACTCCGCAAAGGCGTCGACCATACACAGCCTGAAAAGCTGCATAGCGGGGCCTTCGTGGCCACGGGTCTACGAAGGCAAACTGCGGGATAGGGAAGAAGACATCAAACCACTGTCACACGCTTGTGGCTACCCTGTGCCCAAATTATACCTTTACCAGAAGCTTCAGAACGCCAGCGCAACCGTGAAGCCCAAGAACAAGAACAACGCGGGGCCACAGCGCAGAAGAGTGGATGCACCCAAGGTGCACAAGCGTAGGTGCCTTAAAGGACCCGTTTTGTTGGGCGTTGCTTCCGTGCCTCAAGTACTGCTCATCACTTGCGTAAGGTCCCAATCAGAGCACTTTGCCGCCTCGCGGACTTCAGTACACACCTCCTAAGGGATCCATGTCGACAAGGGTATGTCGGCGGTTATGGGTATCCTCATCGTTATCAACACCTGCTTCGATTCGTCTCCCCTATAAACTTTGCACACTAATTCTCGGACAGAAATGCCGCCACAAACAGAAGCATTTCTCAGTGACAGACTACTGCGCACTTTGTCAAGAGTATGTTGCCGAAGACGCAATATTCTAATCATCTCAGTAGGAGCCGTGCAATGCTCTTGTGTCCCCCATTGATCTTCAAGATCTGCAAGCTTCCCGTTTGATACTTCGCCGCGCTGTGGAAGGCACTATTGCAGCACCATATCGCATCCCCAGCGGGAGCGCACGTCCTCCACATGTGATGACTTGACCGTATTCGCTCCTTGGCAAGAAGTCGCCCAGTCTACTATGTTGAACTAAAGTCAAAGTGGTATCTTAATGACAAGACAGCGTATAAATCACCGCCGCAACAAACTCATGCTCTTGCACTGCTAAATTGCTGAAGTAGAACTATTCCAACCGTAAACGCTGTTCAGTCGAGAAGAAAAGCCTCAATATCGGCCGCTTCTTGGCGCACATGTTCAACATTAATTGCTATTCAGGATGGAGCATCTACGATGTGTGCAGATACGCGGTTACTCCGGCAACTCCGGGCCAAGGAGGAGAGCGTCCAGTGACGGCGCCTCATCGGCGGGCACGAAGTCAGTGCCAGAGTGCGGCAGACTGCGCAGGCTTGAGAGGGACTTGGAGTTCATGGCGGAGACGAGGGGAAGGCGCCAGGAGGCATCCAAAAGGCATCAAGAGGTGGTTGGAAGGAATGTCCCCTCAATAATGAGGGGCCGAATTTGCCTCAAAATAATAGTCGCACAGTGCCACGATTCGCCTCTGATGCGCAGATGTGAGCTATTGGTTCTGATCGATTGACACGGCACTCAACTGATTCCAACTCCGTGCGGCATTGTAATCAGTGGTGTTTACGGACCATAGACGGCCTGACCAATTCCAATAATCAAATGGTAGCTCCTGAATGTGATGGTGGCGATATAGTGCAGCCAATTCCCGAGGAACCTTCTGCACTATATGCTTCCTCCAGAACCTGCATTGGAGAGAGAGAGACAGTGGTGGCGCATTTTCGGCAAACGCAACTTAAAAATGCATTTGAAACTATCGAAAAAGAAAATCACGACTAAAGTCAATTGCGAATGATGATTCGAATAGGTTGTGCGGTTCAGCAGCTGTCTACTTACTTACAAGCATTTATGGCCAAACACTGAACGTTTTGTTCACACGTGCTTAGAAGCGAATACACAACAGTGTGTCACACGTACAGAGAGCCAATACACATATTATTCGCTAAAATGCACCACATACAGGATATGGAATAGGATATAGGGCCCCCCACAATCTCGGATGTGCACATCGAGGATATGGCCTCATCTTGGATATGTACACTTCCAGGATATGGGCAACCTGAGATATGGCTACAATGTCGAGAGGATACGACCATATCCCAGGACGTGGGCGCCCATATCCTCTAGATATCCCACCTGAGATATGGCGACCATACCCTGAGATATGGAAGCCCATGTCCTGGGATATGGCCATATGGTGGATATGCAGACCCAGGATATGCAAATTTTTCCCAAACAAAATTGAGGACGGCGATTTGTGCGACGATCTCTTGGCTATTCCCATGACCAAGATGGACGAGATGATGGGGAGCTTTGGGAAGAGTGCTGGCTGCGAATCTATCAGCGACAATGCCCAGCCCAACAGATAAATCCAGCTTTAACTTGAGTAGATATGAATGTAAACATGGTTGTCCAGATCCTTACGCACATCTTTGCGTATAACGTTAAAACAAGAATGCCCGCAGCTAAGCGGGTTCAGTTGTCTATGTTGTGAGCGCCTTTTACGTGAGCAGCCTTGTTACTTGCGAGCGCAAGCAGTCGCACGCCACAAGCTTGGTACGAATATTACCCTAAAATCGCAACAGCACACATCGCCCAGAAAGGTGTTGGACTTCCACCACTGCGGACGCGCGAATTGCGCATAGCGACATTTTGCGCTGCTCTTTTCTGGGCGATGGCATGTCTGTTCCACGCGAAAACTGATCAGGTGGCAAGAATATGTCCTGAATTAAGCAGCGGCAAGCACCAGTGGAAAACAGCCTGTCGCGATGCCAATTGTGAGCCATTTGGCACCAATTGATGCCATCACAGCCGCTTTTCCGCCATCGCAATCACTGTGACGGCATCACTTTGTGCCAAAATGGCATCGCAGTTGGCATCGCAAACTATGCCATTTTCTGCCAGTTAAAGCGATGCTGACAGTCGATAAATTTTCCGCAGGTAATGGCCGCCAATGAGAAATCGCTGGGCGAGCTGCGCAAGGCCAGCAAAGAGATGACTATTCAAAAGGAATGGATGTCGTTTCAGTCAAAAATGCTGGAGACGACTCGAATTGAAAGAATGCTTTCTGACAACGAGCTGCAGCAAGGGTGTCGAGAGAAAAGAACTAATTTTAACGAGCCGAAATGTGCTCAGCAAAATTCCGAATGACGTTTTGTTGAATATTCTTGTACTTTCATTATTTGCCTTTGATTGCGTGAGTGCTTAGGTATTAAGCTACGGGTTCGGAAGGAAGCTGGAATGCGGCTGCTGGGTGCTGCTGAGACGAGCATATTCCTCCAATCTTACAGCTCATCCCCGTTCTGACCCCTGTCTCGGATACACTATCCTCCAGACTTCGGTTTATTTGTCTATTCCGGACCTGCACCGATATCCGGTGGGCTCCAAGACGGCGACAGTCACGCTGCACTGTCGGCAACACTGCCTGCGCCCACGTCGTCTGGCGGCAAGTACAGTGCCGCTACGGCACTGTCGCGGTTGCTACATAGGAAGCTTACGACAATACTTCCAACGGCTGCGGCGCGTCGTCCCTAGCAGCCCAAATTTCCTAGTGCAGTGGATCAAAATTTAAAAAAGTGCTTAGGAGACGTAGGGGGCACAAGGGCGCCCCAAACTGGTGTACCATACCATGGGCTAAATGTGCATATTTAATTAAATATCTTATACTAACTTATAAAGTGTAAGATAAATATCTTATAATAACTTATAAGTTGTGCAGCGAGGCATTGTCAAGCTCATACTTTGTGTCTTTATGTGCATGATGCCCAGTGACGTCGCCACAGTGAACAATGTAGGTTTGAGAAGTGAACAACTTCCACAGTACATTGACACATGTGTTCAGCTTTTGCCATTCTGCATGTTGCAAGTCTTGGGCTTCGGCGAATGCGCTGACGGCGGCTCATGGGCCGCCCGCAGCAGGTAGTAAGGTGCGTATTGCACTGGGAAAAAAAGGCCCAAATAGCACGTGTTCAAACGTGTACAAAGTTTACGGGTTTGTGTTATTTTTGTGTTCTTAGCGTGTAAAACTATGATGAAATGTGTTTTATGTGTGTTCGTAAAAGTGTTATTTGGCCCTTTTTTCCCTAGTGTTGCTGGCATGTCATATGCGAGCTCGAGATGGCAGTGCAAGAAAAATCCATCATCCCTGCGCAGAAATGACGGGGTTCCAGAAAATATGGCAAAATAAACTGAGAATCAGGAAAATAAGTACAAAATTCCACACAGCCACCAAATGAGTTCAGGAGCCAGCTCGGCAAATGAAGGCTCTCGAAACGGAAGCAAGGCAACAATTACAAAACAACAGTGCTAAAGCAACAAAATGTCTATATTTTGTAACTTAGTCCTTTGTAAAAGGGAGGGCAAATTTGAAATTTGGGCACTTAGCGTCCGATGGACGGGAGAGGCTGTGTCCAGGCCGAGGATGACAAGGTATTGTGCTATTGCACTAAATATAAATGCAGAAAGAGGTCCAAACCGCCTTGGAGCCATCAGCAGACGCCAAAAAAAAAGGAAACGATGCAGACGGCTAGTGCGCACTGCACTTACAACCGACCACTGCACTTCTTGTTCAAGCCATGCATCAGGTTTTTGGGAAAAGAAAATTGAAACACAAAGTACTCAATGCAAGATTGGCAAAATAGTACACGAAGCCTAGCCGACCGCTAGGGCCGTGCACAGACACAGCCCCATGCCTATCCATCACAAAGTTTGGTCCGCTTGCTGCAACCTGGCTGGTTGTCCTGATGTGCAGACATACAAGATTCTAGAGGCTATTCTTAACAAGCTACGGAAATGAGGTTGGGGCTGTGCACCTGGAGCGATGCTATGTGCCCCATTTTGGCGTTTGACGTTATTCCACAATCAAAGAGGGCGTTTCAAGCAATGAACAGAGGACTTCCTACCCGCCAATACCATGCAGTGGTGGGCACCGCTTGATTTCATGGAACATTCATCAAGCAGCATTCGCAAAGAAGGACAAATCGCCGTCCTAAAGGTACGCATGGGGACTACACAATGGCAATCGAATTTGGCTATCGAATTTGGTAGAGGCAGCTATCGAATTTGGTAGAGCTGCTACAGACACAACCCAGCATGGAGTGGATCACATGCAGCCCTTGCAGCTGTGACGCCACAGCACAAGCAGTACCTGTACTGCCATATTCAAGCCCTTCATTCCTCAATAGTTTGTCGAGGACGGCAATCCAACCACATTCCGCCATCCATGCACAACAAGGCCCCAAGGTACTGGCGAGACAGGGCGTCCTCCCATCCGCCCATCCTCTCTGCAAGCCTGCAGCCAACGAAAAAAAACTGGGTTTGGGAACTTAAATGATCATGACGACTGACAGCTGAACATTGGGCTCTCAGCACAGGAAAATGCACCAGAGCCGTCACCCAACAAGAATGTGCAACTAAACAAGGGCATTAACGACCACTTATGCGTACCACTGGCAGTTAGCATGCCATGGGGATTGGATTCGTCAAAGGGGTACGTCCAGAACGGATCCATGCAACTCGCAGGTACCTGAATTCAAAATGTGCCAGCAGCACTGCCACCACAAGATGCATCTTCATCATCGCCATCCTCTGCCCCAAGCAGTTTCTGGGGCCATCACTGAAGGTCCACAAGATCCGAGAGCTGCCCTTTTCTGAAGGCTGAGCATCGAACTCGGTCTCAGACTGCCCAGTTGGTACCATTTTGCGCCACCTCTCAGGGTCGAAGGTGCCCGGATCGTTCCACAGCCAAGGGGAGTGGTGCAAGGAATACACATTGGGACAGATAACCGTGCCTTTGGGGACACGATAGCCGCACACGCTCATCCCATCTTCAGTAGCGACCCTGAAGGTGCCAAGAGCCAGCCCAGGGAACATCCGGATGACTTCCTTCATGGCCATCCCCATGTACTCAAGGCCCATGATTTCAGAGTAGGACACTCGATCTGTGGGCCCTTCTTTGATCCGATGAATCAGTCCGCTGGTCTTCAGCTCGTCCACGATCTTTTGCTGAACTTCGGGGTGGGAGGCGATGGCAAACAGGGCCCATGCTAGTGAGTGACTGGTAGTATCCGTGGCCGCCAGGACGAAACTCCCAACTTCTGCTGACAGGAGTGCATCATTCAGGGGACCACCTGTCTTTGGGTCCCTAATCTGCATTAAACAAGCTGAAATGGACAAGTCGTCCGTTGCAGGCTCCCCCCTTTTCCTTATCTCCTTTGCGATCATGTCGTAGAAGCCGTACATCTGTGAGTACATTCTCCTGCATGTCTGGGCAAGCTTGCACATTGGGAGCGCCGACTTCAGTAAGCGACGGAAAGGGTTCAGAGCGCTGGCCAACGCGTCGTGCATGCAGTAATCGATGGCCTCCAGGTAAGGGTGGCGCTCATTCTTAAGAGATTTGAATTCCATGCCAAAACCACCCACTCCGACGACATCAAACACGAAGTGCAGCATCAGGTGTTCAAACTCGATTGGTTGCCCGGGAGCGGTGCTCTTGATGATGCCAACGAGCTGGTCAGTTTTGCTTGCAATGCTGGGCATTGCCGCCTTGAGGGCTGTTGTACTGAATGCCCTCGCCATCGCCTTTCTCACAGCTTTCCAGTAGTCGTCTTCTGTCAGACTGGCAGTAAGGAACCCTTCTTTCCCTGGCGTAGCCAGCTGTGGAAGGGGACGAATGCAGCTTCAATGACTGGTGCAGGCCAAATCGGCAAGAGGACAAAATCCATCCCACACAAAGTACGAGTCTTGTATGCAACCTTGGTCCTGCCGAATTTGGCATCAATATTTCGCATGATGCAGACGCTAAAGAGCTGTACCCTCACGACAGATGTTTGCCATACCAACACAATCATCGAACTTGAAATTCACTGCCAATGATCGGCAGCTGAATTCCTCTGTGTACCGCAAGAAGTCTCCTTGAAACCCACTGTTCATCATGCAACACATGAGCTGGCGGATGTTGATACTGAAACACCTGAGTCTATTTTTATTGATACTCAGGAATACTCTTAAATCCTTTTCTACCTGGTACAGCACCTATTCAAACTTACCTTTCGCAGATGATTGAAAAAATCAGACTTTGGCAAGCCATGAGCGCCGTGGCCTGTGACATGGTTCTGGAGGAACTCTGGATCGGTCACATGTAACTGAATTGAGCCCTCCAAGCCTGGAACTTCAATCTGCATAGAACAACATATTTGTTCATTTGTTCCAATGTTGAGCAACCGTGGAGATTCGCTGGAACGACGCAATTATCACCTTGAGTAATGTCATTTCGAAGTACAGAGCCGCCTTTATCAGGCAACTCCATTTGGATAGACTTTTGGTGATATGGTATCACGAGATAGAACGTTTCTCTGCATCAAAAGTAATGTCAGAAATGCAAATAGGCGACTGGGTGCTTGATATGTGCTCAGAAGCCCAAGCCAAAAAATGCACAAAATACTCAAGGTGGGCGTGTTCCCTTTTCAGTTGATCCTCCCCTGGAGTTGTTTTTATACACTAGCAGAAAGAGGACCAAATAACACTTGCGAACGCATATATATGCATTTCGTCAGTGTTATGGATGCTTAAAACACGAAAATAATCCAAACCCGTAAACTTTGTACACGTTTGAACACGTTTTATTTGGACCTTTTTTACCTAGTGGTGGGGATTAGTTGTCTTTCAAAAAAGATGGGTGGGTCGCAGTCCATCAGGGAGGGCCCTGCAATGGCGAATCCGGCCCCCACTCTGCAAGAAGCTCTGTAGGTGCACTATCAGCTCTGGCTGATGTGCCTTTTGAGAAGGCCACAATGAGGTCCCTCTTCCCCAGATAAAATCCCTCAAGTTTGGCGAACTGGTGCGGCTCAGGACCATCGCCGAGGCGCGCCTCTAACTGTGTGCAAATGATGCTGTTCAAGGGAAAAAAGTGCACGGACTGTTCTCTGCTGTTTTGAAATTTGGTTCTTGGAGACGAGGATTGACGGGGATGTTGGGATCAACCATGTCGTCACGCACCTCAATCCGTATAGAATTTTCCTGGTTAGACGCTGGCCAGCTGCATCGACGAACTCAACAGGGGTGTTGACGTCTGGCTGGATGCAGCACTCGCCACTTGACAGACAGCGTTCGCCAAACGTTCGTCAACTGAAACTTTGGCAATTTTGGCTGAAAACGGACCAAACTTGGGAAACTTCATTCCGCATCAGATTCATGGTGGGTTGGTGTCCAGTGTGGCTTGCTATATTTGAGGCTGTGGCGCTTTGAGTCGTTCGAGGTGTTGGCCCTGATGTGATGCGAATTACTTCGAAGTACGAAACGTGGTGTCTGCGAAATGCGCACCAATCGGAGCATCTGGCACCCCTCATCGATGGCACGCACCTTCGTGACAATCATGAAACGTGGGCTGGCAGGGTGGCAAGGCAGGCGACGGTCATACATCGCTGCCTGCTCGGGATCTGTCTGCCTCCATCCCGTTCCGGGGGGCCGCACAGGAGAGCTGTCCCCATCGGCGACCCAGCCAGCGACCTACCCCCACGCACCCACCCTAGACCGCACTTGGGCGATTTGGCGCCGCGCCCACCCCCAAACCAGCCTCGCCAAGAACCTCCATCGCGAGCTAGGGCATAAGGGCCGACGTCCGTGGCTCCTTCCATCGAAATGGTCCATGAGGACGAGCGGTGGCGGCTGGCACATCATTTTCGGCGTGGTTCCATCTCCCGGGGCTACCATCGTGATCGACGCGCGTCGGCAGCGTCCAGGGTTCACAGTGAAGCAGCGAGAATTCGGAGAAGTTGGGCGGTGAGAGTTCACTGGGAAAAGTCCAGCCGCGCGGGTACCCCGCAAGGAAAAGGGGTCACCACGAGCAAGGAGGGAGAAATGGGTCTGCAACCCCGGAACTTGGTTCTCGCGTCAGAGCCAGCTCAACAAAGGATTTCAAGATTAGCTCAAACATGGACGCAGCGAACTGTGACCTCGCGGACTCGGCGTTCGTTCCAGGGAACAAGAGAGAGCTTCCGTCAAAGTCCTTACAGCCGGGTTGTGGAGTACGACGTATGGGGGGAGAGATGCCAGGCACCGCTGTGGAACATTCACAGGCCCTTTGAGCACTACACTTTTAGGTCTTTCAGTGTTGCGCACAACTTTGCGCGCGACGCGGACACCGACGCCGTCAGGGATACCCTTTTGCGCGGGGGGGTGGGGGTGGGGGGGGGAGGGCGCGATTGGCACAAAAGCCTGTCCCTGCCGTTGACATATCCCTGGTGGACGTCACAGCACACACACCTTCACAACCTTCCCGTATTTCTTCACCCACTCCAGCACCTTCAGGTGCATCTGCGGCTTCTTCCACTGCAGCAACTGGGGCATGTTGCCGATGATCGGATAGGCCGGCGGGCCGGGAATGCGGTGAAGGTCATACTTGGATCTCCGCCGCCATCTGTTCACGAGGCCAGCGACAAACGCGAGCAGCAGGGCTGCCGCGGCCAGCAGCCTGAAAGCGGGCACCTCCATGGCGTGGGCGCCGACTGCGCTGTGGTGCCCGGTCGCTGGTCGAACACGTCTACGCGAGGCGGGCAGCCGAGCGCCGCGAGCCACGAGGAATCGCGACGGCAGGGCATGGGCTTTGCCCTTATCCAGTTGGCCGCCGACTCGAATTCAGGGCCTCCCTGACCGCCTCAATCGTCTTCTTTGACGGTCGCGGTCGTCACATTCACACGCGCCGCGGACGTCGCGGACTATGATGCTGTGGGCCCGCTGTCTGACTCGCCTCTGGAGAAGCCGTTCCATTCATTGGGTCCATGAGGGCCGCATAATGTGCCATGATAATGTCACCACATTGCATGGCCTCGCAGCCAATTTGCCGCATACATCGTGCGGCACTTTGGCCTCAGAGCATCTTCTCAGCGTCGCGGATCTCGACGTCCCCAACTTTGGCTAAAGCTGCAGCGTCGATTTGACGCTGAAGTGCGGCAACAACGCTTAAGCGTCAGCCCTTGAATTGGCCGCGTGTGTTGGCGCCTTCCAACTACGGCTTTGCTTCCTGACTTCCCAGGCTCTCTGGTGTGTTAAAATTTACAGCTTTTCCTGTTCTTGAATCACTCAACAGGTGACACATGATCGACAGATGGCGGTTGACTTGGCGTCTGGGACGGGTAAGGCGTTTCACCACAGTTTGGGACCGCCTGGTGCAGTGTCACGAACAAGGAAGTTTCTTGAAGGAACCAACCGCAGCCCTCCCCCCCCCCCCCAATCCCCCAACCCCACGAATATACTTGGAATCCAAAACCCTCACACGACTAGCAGCATTTGCGCATTGACCTTGCCCCTTTTTCCTTCTTTCGCTCAGATCTGGGGATCCCGTCAAACACCAAAAAGACGATTCCAACCAAGCAAGACACCAAGCTCTGTGCACCATACCCATTCACTCATCTTTGCATCAGGGGCTCTATATCGTCTTTTCGCAGCATGCAAAAGAGCCTCGCATACACTCGACTAGGCGGGGGTGCCCTTTGTGTGACCTGTTTCTTCTCTATTGCAGCAAATCTTACCATAGCCATTCACTCCAACGATACAATCGCTTCCAACCCAAGCCAAACGTTGTGTCCTGAGCTCTTGAAATCAAATTTATACACAACAGCTTCGCAACGCCGTGGCAGAGCTTGACATAAACTTCCACATAGAGAGGTACTTCTCAGGCACGCAGGTGCCCATGATTGCTCTATATTCTAAAATATATGGGGGACCCCAGGGCAGTGCGCTTGCCTCTTTTATTCCGGGTTGTTTTGGAAAACTGAAAATCGGTTTCCAGTGACCATAGAGCATGCAACTTTTCAGAATTTAACACATTATCCAGTCAATCCTTTTCCGCTATTCAGGATTGTGCCTTGACTTTCGTGCATACGTTGGAAAGAGTTGCATATCGTGGATGTACATACCCGGGATATGGGTGCCCATATCCTGTATATGAAGCGTTCATATCCCTGGATATGGCGCGCATACTCGATATCTAGGATATGGGTTCCATGTCCTGGGCATGGAACTCTTGTCAGTTGTAAGGTTGTGCAGTTCCACCAAAACGGGATAGCCTGCGTTAAGAAGCAGAACTACTACCGAAACCTTGGCAAAATTTATGGAAACTGTTGAATGGCCATAGAGTGTGACTGCCTGTCAAGGCTGATGAGTCACGGCCACGTGTGCACACTCTAGAGGATATGCCCAATCCAGATCCCCAAACAAAGGGATCCCAAAGACACACAACAACCTATTACTACTCCAGCTGCAAAAACACAGGTCAGCTGAAAGCAAACTGGACTGGAGATAGGACCAGCAGTCACACCCGTTACAGGCTGTGACGTGACGGGTGCTGCGTCCCTTTCCCGCCTGTTCTGGTAGCGCCTTACGCGCTCAGAATTCCACAGGAAATTCAATTGCCCTTTCAGTCTGGCGATTTCCCTGGCCAGGCAGGCAAGCTGGGGAGATTCCCCGCGCATTAAAGGGCAAATGAGGAGCCCGATTAGTGCACCTATTTTCCGAATTAGTCCTGCAGCCCTCGCTGCCAATACCGGTCCTTGGACAATCAAATTGATACTCGTTAAGGTTAGTAGAGCAGAACCAACTGCCTTACAAAGTTGGGACAGTTGGTTAGGGCTTACAAACACTCTTGTCCAATCCTTTATATGATTTCCAGGATTTTGGACACCTTCAAACGAGATCAGCACGTCATCAACATACAGCTGGACGTCCAGTTTTTAGAACTAACGTATTAAACCTCTGTGCAAGTCAGTTTTCAAAGACTTTCTCTGACAGCTCGTTCCAGCTTTTCCGCAGCTGACGAGCTTGACCTTCTTTCAAGGATGGCCTCTGAGTCTCCTGTGTGTCTCTATACAGGTCAGCTTTCACAGGAGCTGGGGGGCACCGGGATGGCACAACTTTTACCGCAGGAGTTTGAACCCCGATTTCCGGGTTTAGTTCTTTGGGGCTTTCCTCAGTCTGACTCATGTCTTAGAATCTTTCATTGGACAGCATTTAGAGGAAAACGAACGAGACTTGTATGTTTCCAGTCTTGTAACGGATTCGCACTCCTTTCAGCCTCTACTTCCCTTTAGTACTGGACCTTGCTGAGGCAGTACTTTTTCAGTTTCGGACTGTCCTTGATTAAGCACAAAACTGACTCAACTCTCCCTTACCTTGATTACTTACCTTCCTGTTCTGTCGCTTCCAGTCGCGCTCAGGCCAGTTCCCACTTCAAGGGACCAAATTATCCAATAGCCTTTTCGACAGGCTTCCAGGATCGCGGTATGTACTATATATCTTTATCTATTCAATACTTTAGCCTTTACCTCTGTACCTTAGTGGGAGCCCCGAAGGCTTCCCCACAAAGTACAGGGCCGGACCTGGGACCCCGCAGGCTTCCCCAGTAGATCCGGCCAAGAGACTTTACTAGATTGATAGACGGTTTGGGGCCCCGCAGGCTTTCCCAATAGACCGGTCTATAATCAGTAAATGACTCTTTAGATGAGACAAAGATCAAATAAACGCACTCCGAAATTAATTACACCGTGACCCTCCACGGGCCACAACCTGTACTACAAGGAGTTGTTCAAGTTTTAGGTCACCAGATCCCTCCGCCTATTGGCTTCGGGGCTGGCCACTTCGGAGTGGAAACCGCTTGTCCAGAGGGGTTTGCAACCCGCTATTTATACCCCACAGCTACTGCCCCCATGCCCAAGAGCACCCAGAATATTCCCAAAAGATTCCCCAATAGCTTCCCGGATCATCCCCTCCCTGTCTAGTCAACTTCCCGCTCAAACCCGATCAGGTACTGATCACCACCCCTAGCTTCACCAATCATTCCCCAGAACCCAATCATATCCCTTTCATACCGCACAGGTCAAATCAGTATTCCTCTTAGTACGACCATTCATCCTTCTCACAGCACTACTCAGCGAATTGACACACCATACCCCCTTTGATTCAACACTCAGAGTTATGATTACCTTGCTCACCAAAATGCCAAACCAAATATTCAGTAGTTACTCACCAATACCCAGTTATTGACCAGCCAGCGATACCCACTTTATCATGTACCGTACTGCCTCAAACCAGCCGGGGTATGACAGCCCAGTCATCCCCTCCGTTCTCTACAAACCCTTCGGCATCGACGCTGGGGTCCATGTCAGTCTCCATGTCGTCGTACACCAGCAAATCCGCTTCGTTGGCGCTGTCTTCAATCACGACGTAGCCCCTCTGTGCCTCTCCAGCGACCGTCGCCGCCTCCGCCTGCGCCGCGCCGACTCCGGCCGCCCCCTCTGCTCCAACGTCCTCCTCCGCATCGCGCGCAGCCCTGGCCTCCATATCCTCGACCGTGTCGAGGAGTCCATGCACCTTGAACTGCCAAGTCTCCAGGTCTTTGGGGCCCCATGCCCCCATGTCCTCCGCCTCGTTCCATTCCCACCCGGTTGCCACCAACTGCGCTGCCGTAAGCTGGCGCTTCGCGGCGAATGCGCACATGGTGCACATGTGATCACATGTGCACACGTCGCAGCCTTCCGCGCCGTAGTCATTCAAGTCGCCCTCTTGGCGAGTCCAGCCGCTTCCCCACACCGAACGCTCGGCAGCGTGCGCCTCTCTTGGCGTCGCACCCTTTCGAACGCGTTCGTTGTAACGTTCCCAATACACATCCCTCCAGTAGCCAGGGAGGTGAGCTTCAACGGCACGATTCCTCGCCTTCTCTTCCTCACGCTCTTGCCTGAGCGATAAGGAATCGCTCAGCCACGCTGCCTCGTCCAAGTGCGCCAACGGCACCATGGCTTCAATTCGCAGCCAACACTTATGGTGCGAGGCCGCCAATACCTGCCAACGCAGGTCTTTCGACCGCAACAGATAAGACATGGGAGCCCCGCCTTGGCCCTCAGAGGGATGCAAGGCGGGGCCCTCCCCACGGAAGCCAAAACTCCTAGGCTTCTTATGGTGCCCGTCATGCTCGGCTGCATTCCAGGCTTCCCCCGTCACAGTCGTCCACGCAGAGCGCTCCGCCTGGAACCTTTCCCGCACCTTGGTGCGGAGGCGGAAGCTCCAACGTCGAGTTGGAATGGCGCACACCACATGCGCCTCGAGAGCGAGGCACATGGGCAGCGTCACCCTCAACATTTTCCAGCGCCAAGTCCACGCGAAGGAAGTCCTCAGCCACCATTGTGGCAGGCCGACTCCAATCGGCGATACCCACTCTTTTGGGACGCCCAACTCCGAGTTGATTCCCCTCCGGAGCTCGCGCTGGACATGGCATGGTGGGCCATTCACTCGCGGCTCCCACACGCTGCCGTTTTCCGCGGTCGACTCCATGTCCATTGGTGCCGGCTCGCTGGGACCAACCAGGACGATAGGCATGGACATGTTCAGCCTCCCTGCACGGTTCCGAGTGGGCGCCAGCCCTCTTCGCGGGCTCCTTTTGACTGCGCGCGCAACGCCGCCTCCGAAACGCCCCCAAGGGCCAACTCCACATGCTCCGTACG